GCGCGTGTGGGTGAGGAGCCGCCCTGGCCCTGGGGGTGGGCGTGGCCCCCCAGAAGCCAGGCCTGGTCTTAACCCATCTGCCGCCCGGCCTCCAGGGGCACTGGCCTGGAACGCCGATCAGCTCTCGTCTGGGAGCCGGGACCGCATGATCCTGCAGAGGGACATCCGTACCCCTCCTGTGCAGGCAGAACGACGGCTGCAGGGCCACCGACAGGAGGTGTGCGGGCTCAAGTGGTCCACAGACCACCAGCTCCTTGCCTCAGGGGGCAACGACAACAAGGTAGGCAGGCCAGCCCCACCACAGAGCAGGACGAAGGGGGCTCCCCAGGGAGGGGGTGGCCTGGGCCTCACAGCCACCATCCCCCAGCTGCTTGTCTGGAACCACTCGAGCCTGAGCCCAGTGCAGCAGTACACGGAGCACCTGGCGGCCGTGAAGGCTATCGCCTGGTCCCCGCACCAGCACGGGCTGCTGGCCTCCGGCGGTGGCACAGCCGACCGCTGCATCCGCTTCTGGAACACGCTCACGGGGCAGCCGCTGCAGTGCATCGACACGGGCTCCCAGGTGTGCAACCTGGCCTGGTCCAAGCATGCCAACGAACTGGTGAGTGCCGCCGGGCAGGCTGAGGGCTGCATCTTGGGAAGGCGTTCGGGCTCATTCTTTGAGACGAGGCAGGGGAGCCAGGGCATGCAGGCTGGGGTGGGGGTCAGAAGTGCAGGGCCCACCGGGCCTCCCCTGTGGCCCTGGATGAAGCCAGGCTCCGTGCCCAGGCGGTACAGAACCACATCTCGGCCTGCAAGACCCCTCCCAGGGTCCCGGGCCTGGTGCCCATAAGGACAGGCCACAGGGCCCTCGGACATGGCGCCATCTCAGTCCAGCCATCAGTTGTGTTCCCGAGTGGGTGCGTCGGAACCCTGGGGCCACGGGAGGGGAGGTCCAGGGTCCGACTGCAGCCTCTCTGCCCCCTAGGTGAGCACACACGGCTATTCGCAGAACCAGATCCTGGTCTGGAAGTACCCGTCCCTGACCCAGGTGGCCAAGCTCACCGGGCACTCCTACCGAGTACTGTACCTGGTGAGTCTGCCCAGGATACCTGGAGGCGCAGAGAGCGCTGCTGGGAGGCCGTGTGCAGCTGCTGCCACCCTGCGCTCACCTGGGACAGGGCTCCCGCCCCGGGCCCCTGAGGAGCACCATTTTCACCCACACGTTAAACTGCCAGAGTGACTCGTGTCCCACACTCACATGAACCCTGAGGGCGCGCCGCCACACGGCTGTTTGTATGTGTGCCTCTTGCTGCAGATGCTCGCGCCCCAGTATTTTTCACTTCTCCCCAGAAAAGAGTGTTTTGTGCTCACACCCACGAGTCCTTTGCTTGATTGCACAGGACAGGCCATTCCTCCCCATGGCGGGTGGGGGTGTCCCTGTGTTTTTGGAGGATACTCTGACTATGGCTCTGCCCTTCCTGACCAGAACCCTGGGCTCCCCAGGGACTTTGGGGGCACAACCCCCTGCACTGGGCTCCCCGCCGTCAGCTCTGCCTGCGGGCTCTCTGCAGGTCTGGGGACGATGAGGGTCTCTCCTCCCGCAGGCCATGTCCCCGGATGGAGAGGCCATCGTCACTGGTGCTGGAGATGAGACCCTGAGGTTCTGGAACGTCTTCAGCAAAACCCGCTCGACCAAGGTAAAGTGGGTCGGTATCACCAGCAGCTGTTCCCCCATGCGCGTTCCCTCAGCTTGTCCTGGGGACCGAGCCCCCAGCCAGGCAGCCCTGTTCACACTGTTGGCTGTCCCCTTCCTGGGGTCGCCCCGGCAGAGCTTGGCGTGCTGGGCAAGGTGCCCCCACAGGGCCGAAGCCCTGGCTTCCTTCCAGCAGAATTTCCTTCCCTGCCCGCTGCTTCCCGGCTGGTGCTCTAGGGGAGGGGCCCGGGGCCCAACCTCAGCGGCCCCTCCCATGTGCCCGGCAGGAGTCCGTGTCAGTCCTCAACCTATTCACCAGGATCCGGTGAACCTCGGTCCACGCTGTGCACGTGGGAAGAGTGCCCCCTCGTCAGATGCATGGACACACGCCCCCTCCCAGCACACCCAGAGGAAGGGCCCGGGGCGGTGGGGGAGACCTAGAAGGTTCTCATTAAAGCCTGATTGTGAACCTTGGCGACCTGTTTGGTGTGGGACGTGGCCGGGCACCCACAGGATGGGGCTGAGGCTCCCCACACTGGGTGCCCCGGCCCATCAGCTGTGTTGAGCAAGAGGAGGACCTCTGGGTCCCCCGCCTGCCCCCGTGTTTCTGGCCCTGCCTTGTCGGGCTGCATGCTCCTCCCAGAAGCACTTGCTCGCCGCTGCCACCACTGTCCACACCTGCTACCAGACAGACAGCTGGATGGACGCCAGACCCATCGGCCAGGGGAGGGCCCACAGAAGGACCCGAGCAGCTGGCCCGGACCCACAGAGGGACTCTTCTGCCTGACGGGCTTCTTCGCAGCCACCTGTGCTGCACCTGCCGCTGTCCCAGTGACTTGCGGGCAGAATGCGGCCCAACATCAGGACCAGGCCCCACGCGGCAGGAGGTCATGCAGGGCGGACTCGTCCAAGGAAAGCTGGAGTCAGAGCTGCTTGTTAGTGTGCGTTGGCCCTGACCTGCACTGTCCCTGTCTGATGGGCTCACCCCCTGTTCCATCCCCACGTGGGGCTGGGGTCCTTGTGACTCACCCTGTGTACGGCCAGCCAGGGCAGCCTGAGGGCGGAATTGGCCCTGAGGCTGGTCCTGCCGGCCCGGCCCTCCTCCCCCGCCTCTCCTCCAGGCCACCTGGGTTCTGTCCGTCTGTACCACTGCTGGGCAGCCAGGGGTGGAGACACCTGCAGCTTCCCCCAGAGGCTTCCTGGGCTCCCCCTGACCCTGGTCCCACCTCATTGGCCTCTTCCCTGTCTCCAGCTGCACCTGGGCCCGCCTCCAGCCTCGTCTCCAGACCAGGGGAAATTGAGAGTGAGCCAGGGGCTGGGGGGCTGGGGGCCTGAGCAGCGCCCTTACCCCCCGCTGCTCCTTGGACCAGACGGCCACCGTGGAAGTGGCCTGGGGGGCTGCCCGGCTCTGCTCGGAGCCCTCCAGGTTCTGACATCCCAGTGCCGCCATCGGCCTGCGTGTGCATGTGTAGCTTCCTCCAGGCCACCTGGGTTCTGTCCGTCTGTACCACTGCTGGGCAGCCAGGGGTGGAGACACCTGCAGCTTCCCCCAGAGGCTTCCTGGGCTCCCCCTGACCCTGGTCCCACCTCATTGGCCTCTTCCCTGTCTCCAGCTGCACCTGGGCCCGCCTCCAGCCTCGTCTCCAGACCAGGGGAAATTGAGAGTGAGCCAGGGGCTGGGGGCTGGGGGCCTGAGCAGCGCCCTTACCCCCCGCTGCTCCTTGGACCAGACGGCCACCGTGGAAGTGGCCTGGGGGGCTGCCCGGCTCTGCTCGGAGCCCTCCAGGTTCTGACATCCCAGTGCCGCCATCGGCCTGCGTGTGCATGTGTAGCCTTTGGGCTTTGTTTTTGTTGATTAGTTCCAGAAGTGTTTGAGGCTACCGGGGTGGGGTGGGGTGGGAGGCAGTGGCCTGGGGGAGGTGCCGTCACAGCTTCACAGCTTCCTCGTGGGAGGTGCGGTCAGCTGAACCCACCGGACCGTGGGATCGTGGGGCCCTGCCTCTCCCGCCCCATCTGCCAGCCGCGGGACAGGTGACTGCCAGTGTACATAGGTGTGTGTATTTCAATTGGTCAAGATCTTATTTTTGTTTGAATCTTTTTTAAGAAAGTGGTCTGTCTGTACCGTACCCCCGCCCCACACGGTTGCCAAAGCCAGGAGCTGGCGCTGCTGGCGGGCCTGGGGCTGGGGCGGGGTGCCCGGCGCAGAGCCAGCCTTGTTTCTCATGTAACACGGTGTCACTGTCATTAAACCAGCTGTGGGTTCACACACAGCTTGAGCCGCCTCTCTGTCTGTGTGTCTGGTCCCAGTTGGGATGAAGGCCGACAGCTCAAGTCCACACACCTGGGCTCACCAACAGGGTGCACTGATGGCCCTGGGGATCCGCGCCAGGCCCTGCAGCCCAGCCAGGGCCCGGCCTCACTGTGGGGAAAGGGTGCCGTCCCCGAGGAGGGGCAGGTGACTGCCAGTGTTGTACATAGGTGTGTGTATTTCAATTGGTCAAGATCTTATTTTTGTTTGAATCTTTTTTAAGAAAGTGGTCTGTCTGTACTGTACCTCCGCCCCACACGGTTGCCAAAGCCAGGAGCTGGCGCACAGCAGCTCCAGTGGGCAGGCGCTGCGGCCATGGAAGACAGGCCAGTGGGGGCCTCGAGAGCCTGGTGCTGTCCTGCTCTTGGGAAGGGCAGAGGGGAGGGGAAGGCTGGTTCGCCTTGCCTGGGATGTGGCTTCTGCAGTAGAGGAAAGGGATTTGGCGCTGGCAGCACTTGGGGGGCAGAGGGCCACCAGGGAGAAGCTGGAGCGTGTTGAGTGGTGCGCAGACGGGTCAGTGTGGAAGCGGGTCCAAGGGGCAGGTCTGGGGACAGGAGAGCCAGCCTGGCGGCAGGCCTGGAGAACCCAAGGGTCTTGATGAGAGGACTGAGCTCCCTGCAGCAAGCAGGCCCTTCCCTCTACGTGAAGGGCCCCACCCTGGGCAGTGAGGACAGGAGACCAGACCCTAAGACCTGCCCTGGAGGAGCTTCTTGGGGCGTGAGATTGGGTGTGGGACTGGGAAGCCTGTGACTACCAGTGTGCTGGGAAGTGGGAGGCCTTAGGAAAGGGTAGCGTTGTATCCAGGGGTTGTGACAAACCTGTCATATGCAAGGGCCTGTTGAGCCAGGAGACACCTGGGAATGGGGTGCTCCAGGCAGCAGGCATGGCCTGTGCAAAGGCCCTGGGGCCGCACTGGGCCTGGCAGCTGGGACAAACAGCAAGGTGGCCCATGTGGCTGGAGCAGAGTGGGCAACTGGGAGAGAGGGAGGGGGGCAGGGCAGGGACAGGCAAGTCATGCAGGACCCGGGGACCTTGAGGAGGACTCTAGCTTTGACCCCAAGGAAGTGGGTGCCCCGGGTGTGTGTCCACGAGAAGGGATGCGATTGCTGTATGGAAACCTGGAGGGACAGGCAGAGAGGACGGCGAGGAGGCACCGCCCAGGCGGGTGATACCCTGACCGTGGCCAGCATCACGTGGAGGTGGTGAAAGGTGGGCAGGGTCTTCTTTTTTTGTCATTTTTTTAATGTGGTAGGACTCATCACATGTGACTTACCATCTTAGAGTGCACAATTCAGTGGCATTAAGTACATTCTTACCCATCACCTCTCGTTCCTAAACACTGTCATCCCAGGAAACCCGTCCTGTGAGCACCCCCTCCTCTGCCGCCCCAGGCCCTGGCTACACAAACCCACATTCAGTCTATGGATTCACCTGTTGTGGGGATTTCACAGAAATGGGGTCACGTGCTGTATGGCCTGTGTCTGGCGGGCGTCTCTGAGCACTGTGTTCAGGGCCCGTCCACCTGCAGCGCATGGCAGGGCCTTGCTCCCTTGCCTGGTGAGGGATGTTCTGCGTGTGGATGGACCCCGTTTTGTTTCGTTTGTCCTGCAGTCAGTGGGCATTCGGGTTGTTTCCACTTCGGCTGTTGTGAACACAGGTGGGCGGTTTTTGCTCTGGATGTATTTGGGAAACAGGAAGGACTGCCTGGGGGTGAGGTGGGAGAGGTGATAAGAAGGGGCTGCTGGAGCCCCAGGTCTGGTCCAGAAGCCGTGGGCTCACACCACAGCCAGACCCCCCTCCCCCCGCCGCCTGCCTTCCAGCCTCCGCAGCGGGCTGGGGAGGGAGGAGCCGTCTGGGTCGGGGCCTGAGCTGTTGCCAGGACACAGGGCGGCCTTTGTTGCTGTCAACAATGGCCCACAGGCCTTCTAGGCAGGAGCCGGGACAGGCGCCCAGAGGCAGACATGCAGACACTTGGGTGGGCGGCTGCCTGGCCCTACGTGCCCCGCAGGACCCTTGAAGTGGACTTCCCAGCACCTCTCTACAGGTCAGCACCCACACCTGTGCCAGGCGCCGCTGGTCCGGGCTTCAGGTCTGACCTCCAGGGGGTTGCCTGGGCTTCTTGTGCACCAGCCCCGTGGGCGCAGCAGCCTACTGGCCATCCTCACCAGCTGCTGCCTGTCTCCTCCCCACCTGACTGGCCTCAGGGCCCAGCTCCCTGCCTGTGGGCGGGCACTGGCAGGGGGGCACACCACACACACGGCAAACTGCACTACCCGGGCTGCTCTAACACCGTGGGCGGCACGGCCTGCGGATGCTTCTACCAGCCAGGTGTCGGCTGGCTCTGGGTCATTCTGTGTCTGGGGAAGTCAGTGCCCCCTGGCTTCTGGGGACTCGGCGGCTCCGCTCGGTGTCCCCCAGCTTGTAGGCGAGTCTCCCCAGTCTGCCCCGCCACTGGTCCAAATCCCCTGCTCCTTACAAGGACCCCAGCCCCTGCATGAGGACTCGCCGTAACCTGTGGCCACATCTTAGCAAATCACAGCTGCTAAGACCCTGTTTCCAAATAAGGTCATGCCTGAGATTCAGTGAATTTCGGGAGACGCTCTGAAGCCAGTGGAGCCTGTTCATAAGAGGCCATTTGAATGAACTGTAGCGAGGTACCGCGCAGCTTCCGTCTGCTGCTGCTCCGTCCCCAGGAGTACTAAGTAAAAGACGAGAGACTATGAGCAAGGCAAGTTCCTACATCTGCATCACAAAAGGGACACAGACACGGGTGTGCGCAGCCTTCTGAAAGGCAGAGGACTCGGGAAGGGCCGGCTGGGCTGGGCGGGCGCCTGGAGCAGGGAAGGCTGTTAACCATGCCCTCCCTTATTTAAATACCACAAAATCTTTTTCCTTGAGAGGGAAGCACTCCTCAGGTTTTACCGGGACTTCTCTCCATGTCTGTTGGCCATCTGTGTGGCTTCTTTGGGAAAATGTGTAGTCGGGGCCTCTGCCCATTTTTTAATTGGGTTATTTGGCTTTTTTGGTGTTGCATGAGTTCTTTGTATATTTGGGATATCAACCCCTTATTGGTTATATCATTTGCAGATGTCTCCTGTTTGGTAGGTTGTTTTATCATTTTGACGTTTTCCTTCACTGTGTAGCTTTTTAGTTTGATGTAGTCCCAGTGGTTTGTTTTTTACCTCGTTACCCTTGCTGGGGAGACAGACCCAGAAAAATATTGCTAAGGCCAATATCCAAGAGTTTTCTGCCTATGTTTTCTTTTAGAAGTTCTGTGGTTTTAGGTCTTACATTTAAGTCTTTAACCCGTGAGTTTCTTTTTGTGTGTGGTGTAAGAAAGTGGTCCCGTTTCATTCTTCTGCAGGTAGCTGTCCAGTTTTCACAAAACTGTTATTGAAGAGACTGTCTTCTCCCCATTGTACATCCGTGGCTCCTTTATCATATACTAATTGGCCACAGATGTGTGGGTTTACATCTGGGCTCTCTAGTCTGTTCCATTGATCTATGGGTCTGTTCTTGTGTCAGTACCATACTGTTCTGATTATATGGCGGCTTTGTAGTAGAGCTTGAAGCCAGGGACCGTGATCCCCCTAGCTTTGTTCTTCCTTCTCAGGATGGCTTTGGCTATTCGGGGTCTTTTGTGCTTCCACCTGAATTTTAGGATTATTCCTTTAGTTCTGTGAAAAATGCCGGCAGTATTTTAATAGGGATTGTGCTGAATCTGCAGATTGCTTTGGGCAGGATGGCTGTTTTAAGAATACTAGTCCTTCCACCCCATTAGCATATAATCTTTCCATTTATTTGTGTCATCTTTGATTTCTTTCATCAGCATCTTACAGTTCTCAGAGTACAGGTCTTTCACCTCCTTAATTAATTTATTTTTAGGTATTTTATTCTTTTGGATGCAGTCGTAAATGGGTTTTCTTAGTTTCTGCTAGTTCATTCATTCTTAAGTGTATAGAAACACACAGATGTCTGTGTTTTGATTTTTGTGTCCTGCACCTGTTGAGTTCCCTTACTAGTTCTCATAGTTTTTTGGTGGAGTCTTTAGGGTTTTCTATGTGTAATATCATGTCCCCTGCAAGTAGTGACAGTTTTCCTTCCTTACCCACTGGATGCCTTTTCTCTCACCTCCAGGACTACTGAGTAAGGGTGGTCAGTGAGCACCTTGTCCCGTTCCTGACCTCAGAGGAAAGTGCTCAGCCTTGGCCGCGGAGTGTGATGCTGGCTGTGGGCCTGTCACAGTGGCCGTAGTCGTGCTGAGGAACATTCCCTCTATACCCACCTCGTTGAGTTTCTGCCACGAATGGATGTTGCCTTTTTCATGCTTTCTCTTCATGTACTGAGAGAGGATTTTTAGCCTTGACTTCATTGCTGTGTATGGCGACTTGTGGGTGTTGACCCACCCTTGCATCCCTGGAATAAATCCCACTTGGTCAGGGTGAATGATCCTTTTAATGTGTTTTTGAATTCAGTCTGCTAATACTTTGGATTACAGAGGATTTCTGCATGTGTTTCTCAGACACCGGTGTGTCAATTTATTTTTGGGTGTGTGGTGTCTGGCTTTGGTATCAGGGCGACGCTGGCCTAATGGATTGAACTGGGAGACCCTCCTGTTCTCTGAAGTTTAAGGAGGGCAGGCATTAGCTCCCTGTAAGCTGTTCGGTACGGTTCCCCTGTGGTAAGGCCTGGATCAGGGCTTTTGTTTGTTGGGAGCGTATTACCAATTAAATTTTGTTACTAGCCTGGGTCTGTTCAGATTTTCTTTCTTCCTGACACAGGCTTGTAAGACTGGATGTTTCTAGGAACATTATCCATTTCTTCTGGGTTGTCCATTTCATTGGCATAGGACTGTAGTTATCTTCCATAATTTCTTGTATTTCTGTGATGTCACTCGTAGCTTCTTTCATTTGAGTCCTCTTTCTTGAGTCCAGCTAAAGATGGCACCTTGATCTTTCAAAGAGCCAGCTCTTTCACCGATTGTTTCCGCCTCCTTTATTTCTCCCTGATCATTATCGTCATGTCCCTTCTGCCAACTTTGGGCTTTGTTCTTTTCCTAGTTCCTTGAGGTGCCGGGTAAGACTGAGACCTGGTGCCTTGAGGCAGACCTGCATCGCCATCTTCTTGCTTAGAACCATCTCTGCTGCGTCCCGACAACTGTGAACCATTGTGTTTCCGTCTTCATTCGTCTCTGAGCATTTCTGTTTTTCCCCTTTGATTTCTTTGTTGGCCCACTGGTTTAGCCTCCACGTTTGTTTTTTTTTCTCGTAACTGATTTCTAGTTTCATACCGTGATGGTCAGAAAAGATGCAGAAATCGCTAGTAGGGACCAAGAAGGTGTTCACCTAGCATGAGAAGTCTTTTCTCACTCTAATGTGACACTGTTGTTTAAAGAGAGGTTTAATTGACATTCATTCATAAAAAAGACTCACTTTTCACTGTTATTACTTGAGAGCATTTTAATTGCATTTTATGCAGTTGGCAGTTCAGAACCTTTCATTGCAGAAGGTTGGGCTTTGCCACGTGATCTTCAAATTCCCCTTTGAGTGGCAAGCCCAGCCTGCGTCAGGCTCCTGAGGCTGATGTCCCAGGACCGACCAGGCTAATGTCACCTTATCTGAGACACATGGGCTTCTAGTTTTCTGTGGTCTGTCATCTACCCAAGTGAGAACTCTCAGCCAGGCTCTCTGGGCAAGGCAGAGGTGAGGGCATGTTGCCAGCTGCCCTGCTGGGACTGACCTGGGGCAGATCACCGCGGTCTCTGGGAGACTGCTCAGGGTCGAGCTCACAGTGCGGGCACATATCCCCGTCTCTCCCAGGCATTGGTGCTACTGGGATGCGTTAGGGAAGGAATTCCCACTTGAGGTTTATGCTCAGGCACGTTTCCCTATAGCTTCACCAGCTTAGGGTTTTTTCACTTTCCTTTAGATTTAATGGTACCTCACTGAGGTTTGATTTTTCCCATCAAGAGGTTATTTCTACTGCCCTGTCTGTTCCTTATACTATCCTCTGCTGCCCCAGGGCCCTTGCAAATGCTGCTCCTCTGCCTCAAGTGGTCTGCCCACCCGCCCTCCTCAGGGAAGCCCTGCTGCTGCCTTCTGCCCAGGACAGGCTCTGCCACCTAGCTCCCTGTTTAAATGTGAGCTTGCCATCACTCCCACCTGGTCCCTGCCAACTGGGTAGATGGCAAAGGCACAAGGCTTACCCGAGGGTATTCCTGGGAGCCTGGGCAGCCCCACAGTCCCTGTGTCCCCAGTCCTTGGCTTCTAGGCCAGACCAGTGGGGCAGAACCTGGGCCCCAGAATCTGGGTTGCAGCCACCACCATTCCTGGTACACCCTCCAGTCCAGGGGCCTTCCTGGAGGAAGGGGCCTGCAGGGCTGGGAGGCTGGACAAGGACTTAGGACCCCAGGAGTGGCCACAGCCCTCATCCCTCCCCTTCCTGGTGTCCCCTAGGGGAGGGGCAAGCAAACGTGAAAGGTTTAGTGAGGGTCCTGGGAGGGACATGACAGAAAAGACGGGCTATGAGGGGCGTCCAGTGTTGAAGGACGGGCATGGCCAAGCAGGGATGAGGGAAGGCCCCGTGCTGTGGGCCAGCCTTTATACCCACACTGCTGGTGGCGCCTGGCAGAGGGCAGAAAGGCCAATTCTAGGGAGGGCGAGCTGAGGCCGGAGGGGGGATGGCCACAGGCTCAGACTCTGTCCCCTGACTCCCACACCTTAGCGATGACTACCTGTCCCAGGAGGGGCCTCGCTGGGCGCCAGTCATCAAGCAGGCAACAGGCTGGAGTTACACACCCATGGGACGCGATGCCTCCGGCCAGCTGTGGTCCACTGGCCTGACCAACTCGGAATCCCGGGAAGCCTGGTACACGCTCCCACGGGCCCCGGACAGCCCCTACCGCAAGGCTTACGCCTGCTGGCATGGATGCTACAGCCACCGGGAGCGGAACATGCCCTCGGGTAAGTGCCCAGCCCCACCGCCCTCAGACCAGGCCAGCCCCAAGGGGCGGGCAAGGGCCGGAGGCGACCTCCACTCCTCCCCTGCAGCCTACACCCAGCGCCTCCGGGAGACCGCCTGGCACGATCCCATCATCCCTGCCCAGTACAGAGCCCCCAGCACGCGGTGGGGGAGCACGCGGTGGACAGACAGGCCCAGCCGGGGCAAGGAATATGGTGAGCCCAGGAACAAGGGAACGGGGGGTGGGAGCAAGGTCCCCGGGGTGGGGGTGAAGGACGCTGGGGCCAACACCTGACTGGGTCCCCGCCCCACAGCAGTCAACAGGCACCGATACGGGACGGAGCCGCTGTGGCAGGCGTCTGACTACGTGCCAGCACTGTCGGTGCCCCAGCGCCCATGCTACACCACCCAGAACTACCAGCAGTGGGCCCTGGAGCCCTACTGCCCCTCCACCAACCAGCGGCCCCCGCACAGCTCCCCACCTACTCACTGGTAAAGGCCATGCTTCCCAACGCCACCTCCCCGCCTCAGGTATCTGTCTGCAGCGGGGGACCAGGAGCCTGGGCAACAAGTGGAGGCCCCAGTCCTCACCCACGGCGCCTCTTTATTCACTGTCAGCACAGGCCTGGGTGCAGGAAGCCGGACTCGGGCCCTAGCCTGGCTGCTGAATCCCGCAGCCGCCACAGCCGGGTCCAGCCCAACTTCCCAGCCGAGGCTGGGGGGCGAGTAGGGAAGTCAGTCCCTGAGTCCCTTAGGGCCTGCCCCTACACAACAGAGAGCACCCCAAACATCCAGAGCTGGGACTGGGTCCCCCCAGCCCATGAGGACCCACGGGCCCCTGGATACCATGGGCCTAACTCTACGGACGGACGGGTGGGAGGGGCAGGCCACAGCCAGGCAGTGAGCGTACAGGCCAGGTTCCTTTGATAGGGCAGTGGGCGCAGGGGAGGGTCAGAGCCGGGTTCCAGGGTCCCCTGCAAGAGAAGGGGGGTGGTTAGTGTGTGGGGGTCTGTCTCTGTCCCAGCCCCAGCCCCCATGGCTTGGTTTGGGGTTCCTGGGGGGTGGAGGGGCCCACAACTCACAGCTCCGCAGACGGATGGGCCAGACAAGGAGACTGCACAGAGAGAGGGTGGCAGCCATGCCCACGCCGCCCGTCACGGCCACCATCACCCAGTGGTAGAAGCTTACGCAGGCCCTGCAGCAGAGCTCCGACCTGGTGGGGGTGGGAGGGGTGAGCCAGGACCCTGGTCTGCTGGCTCCCGCCCACCTTGGGGCCTGCCAGCCCCTGGGCCTTTGCACATGCCGTTCCTCCCCAGTTGCCTAGACCTGGTCCCACATCCAGGGCCACCTCAGGGAGGCCCCCTGGCTTCTTGCCCAGGGCAAGGCTCGCTAGGCTGTGTTCTCCACCACCCGCCCCCGCTCTGGCCACAGTTCTCATGCAATGATTTGGGTGGCAAGAGTCACCCCAGCTTCTCAGGCACAGGGACCAGGTGCGGGCTCCAGGGCGCACACCCAGTTCCCTCCAGACCTGGGGCCCCGGGTCCTGAGGTCTGCACTGCACAGATCCCGGCTCTCCCCAGCCCTGCCCACCCCATTGCCCGACACATCTGTGTGCTGTGTCCCAGCCCCCAGCACATGGTATGTGCTCGGTGTATGTACACTCCCACTAAAGGAGCGGACGCAGGTACTCACGAGCAGGGGTGCAGGCTCTGGATGACCATGACTGCCAGCCCGTTGGCCACCTTGTCCGAGAAGCTCATGGCGCCGTACACGAAGGCCCCGCTGTGCTGCAGGACACGGGCACGGGGGCTGAGCACCCACACCCCAGCCCCAGTCCCCAGCCCCCACCCCGCCCCACCCACCAGCCCTACCGTGTGGGGGCCGATGAGGTCTGCCGTCATGGCCAGCGAGGTGACCAGGATGGTGGCACAGCCCATACCCAGCAGCCCGGCTGCCACATACACGGCCACACCCAGCCTGTCCGCCAGCGCCACCCAGGCTGCGAAGGCCAGGATCACCAGGAGGCCCACGAGGTAGGTGAGCTGCAGAGGAGCCAGCCGGGCGTCACCGCCTCCAGGCAGCTGTGAGCCTGCCCTCGGTGCCTCTGGTCTTCGATCTGCCCCACACCGCCCCCCACCCACCCACAGGAGGGGTGGAGTTGTGCCATCCCCAAGGAGCCCCCAGCCCTGATCTCGGATGGGCCAGAGCCACAGGCGCGGAGGGCCCCGTGGAGCCGACGCTCTAACGTGGTGTCTGTGCTCGGCTGCCGCTGAAGCCAGGGCTGCTTGTCCCCAGACGCAAACCGGTAAAAGTCTAATGAAACGAGGCCTGCAGTGCCCTGGGTGCCAGCCACATTTTAAGCGCTCAGCAGCCACTCCTGGCTCCTGCCCTGGACAGTGCAGAAAGCTCTAGAGCTCTGCAGCCCCAACATGCTCAGAAGCGGGGATACTAGAACTCAGTTACCAGGTATGGGGCTTCTGTAAGGCTCAGACCACCTGGTTCTGGGGGTCTGAGAGCCAAGGGCTCTGGGCGCAGGGTCCCCAGCCCTCCAGTCCCTGCCCCCCCAGCCCTGCCCACTCACATTCCTTCCAATGCATTTGTTGACAGGCTTCATGAGTAAGGATGAGAAGAAGCCACTGAGGTACATCACCAGTGGGATGGTGGCAATGAACTTCTGTCAGGGCAGAGCGGGTGCAGCGACTCAGACACGGCCCACTGACTCGGGCCCGCCAGCCCTGCGGCCGCCCAGCGCCCCAGCCCACTCACCTTGGGCAGGCTGAGGGAGTAGGTGAGGTACATGGCTATGTACGCCTGGGACAGGTTCACGATGAGCCTCGTGCTCATGTACAGCAAGCCCACCTGGGAGCAAACGAGGGCAGTGGAGGGCCTGGCAGCAGGGCACCTGCAGCCGGCGCCTGCTCCTGGGACCGGGACCAGCACGTGTGCCCACGGAGTAGGGCCACTGGCCACTGGCAGCTCAGGCTTCTGCCCCAGCCTACCTGATAGAAGGCCGGCTCCCGGAGCCATTGCTTCCAGAGCAGCAGGTGCTGGGCGCGGGCAGGGGCCAAAAGGGGGCTGTGCTCCCCTGGCTCCTCAGCCTGCGGCCGGTGCCGCTCCCTGGTGCCCAGGTGGAACAGCAGCGAGAAGACGGCGCCCACGCCAACCACCAGCAGGGACAGGTTCTGGGACGGGGCAGGTAGGGGTCAGCAGCGGCTCCCACAGGCGAGCCCCGGAGCTCAGGGCCTCAGGGGTGTCCCAGCCGCCCACCCAGGGCCCAGCTCACCCGGAACACGGGCACATCTTGGACCCCCAGCTGTTCCCTGTCTTCCCCCGAGCGCGGAGCGCCCTGCAGGTGGAGCAGGAGCCAGGCGGCGCCGTAGACAGTGATGTTCGCCACCACGGTGAACGCGTACCTGTGCGGACAGGTGCAGCCTCAGCATGGCAGCCAACAAACCACACGGCCTGTGGGCCTTGGGAACCTCTGGCCCATGAGCGACTTCAGCCATCAGACACTGGGTGGCCCAGGAAGCCACCACTGGCCTCAGTTTCCCCAGACTGCACATTATCTGACGACTTACACCCCTGACCTGCAACTCCACCCCGGGGGGCAGAGACTCAGGGAAGCAAGGCCGAGTTGGGGCTGCAGCCCAAAGTCAGAACCCGAGATGCTCAGAAGCCAGGACCCTAGAATTCTCGGTTCCCAGACCCTGGGCTTCCTCAAGGCAAAGACTCCACAGTCCCGAATCAGCTGCGTCTGCATCTGCCTGCAGCCGCAGGGCGACGTCCCTCCAGGGCCTGGGGGCTGGGGCAGAGGTGGGGGAGCCTCTAAGCCTCACCAGGACTCGGTTTCCCCTTCTGAAAGTGAGAACAATACCCACAGAGGCCAAAGTGAAGATGACAGGAGGCTGGCAGTAGAGCCCGCAGGGAGAAGGAACCCCCAAGCCTGGCCTCAGTCCCCCCCATACCCTCCCGCCAGCCGGAGCCCTCGCACCCCAACCTGCCATATTGGGCAACCCATAGATAGCTCGGGCCTCCTGCTCCCGGCCACAAGGCGGAACCCGCAGTGGGAGGGGACGAGGCCAGGCTGAGCAGAGCTGGGGCCCAAAGTGGCTGCACTGCGGGCAGGCAGGGCCCTCGAAGACACCGGTGTAACAGCAAGAGTAGGCGGCCAGGTGACGCCTCTGCGGGCCTGGCCCTCCCAGTACCTCCTGGCCTTGGGCACGTGACAGCCCCTGGGGCTGCGTGGGGATGAAAGGTAATTAGAACTGGGCCTGGCACCCAGCAGGCACCCCTTGTGTGCTCCTACCACCTTCATGCCTACAAAACCTCCTTCAGCACCTCAAGCAAGCTGACCAATAAGCCAGGCGCCTACTGGACCCAGGAGTGGCAAGGCAGGATTCCAAGGTGGCCCCAGAGATCCCCACACCCGGGCCCCACCCTGTCTAATCCACTCCCCGGGGCCGGGCCTGTGACTGGTGGGATGGCACTCCGTGTTTGGGTGGCATGCTGTGACGGTGATGAGGGGTTCTGTGGACGTCACGGACATGGTCCTGGGTGGGCCTGACCTAATCAGGCAGCCTCGGGGGCAGGGTCTCCGCCCTGCCTGAGATCAGAGACCCTCCTGCCTGCCTCGGCCTAGCAGTCTGGCCACTGCGAGCTCCGTGAGACAGCAAGTCCTGCCACCGAGCCCGTCAGCGGGGCGGGGCCCAGCTTCAGATGAGACCCCCAGCCCCGGTCCCGGCTCGCCTGCCCTGCCCACCGCCACACACCTGAGGGCCGTGAGCTCCACCTTCTCGTGGTCGCTGCTGACCAGCTCCGGGATGAGGCTGAGGTGCGCGACCTGCGTGGCGGCCCAGCCGAACTGGAAGACCACGACGAAAGGCCCGTAGTAGAGGAGGGCGGCCAGCTCAGGGGTGGCCGCCCCGCAGCCCAGGCACGGGCTGAAGATGAAGGGGAAGGAGAGCAGGACACAGACGGTGCCTGTGGATGGCAGGAGGGGGACACACATCAGGGGGCTTCCCGGGTGCGGCCAGGCTGGGACCCTCCCAGATGACACACTGGGGAGAGGGTCTGCAGCCCAGGGCTCCCCAGGCCCACGGGCCCAGGGACAAACAGGGAAACTGAGGCAGGGGGCCGGGGTTACATCCCCTGGGGTCCCATGGGGAAACGGGCACAAAGGCTGCAGCACTGCTGAGGCCACGTGCCTTAAGCCCCCCCAGGTGGCAGATGGGGAGCAGAGACCTGAGGTCACATGGCAGGCTGAAGGGGAGCCGTGGGGTCCCCTGCACAAGTGCCCACCACAGACACACCATTTACACCACAGCTTCCCCTTCCTACTGCCAGGGCAGGCAGGGGCAGCCTTCCAACCCCACCCCTCTCAAGGGCCCTGGGGGGCCTGTAGGTGTCAGGAGGCCAGGGGATGCGAGACGGGGCCAGTTTGGACCCTGCCCCCTGAGCCCCAGCGTCCCTGTCAGCCTGTAAGGGGGCCTCCCCCCCAGAAAAACTCTCATACCCCAGAGGCCCCGCACAGTCTGTCCGGCCTCTCCCCACCCCCTCTCCTCCTCTCGCTTCCAGCACACAGGCCTCCGAGCCGGTGCGGCCCCAGGTCCTTTGCACTGTTGTCCCTCTGCCTGGAATGCCCTCCCCCTCACATCCTGGAAAGGCTGGCTCTTTTTCATCCCTCAAGACTCAAATGCCACCTCCCCAAAGAAGCCCTCCCTGACCAACTGAGTCGCCAGCAGTCTCCTGGCCCCAACACACTCTGTCTGGATCCCGCTCTGTTTTCCTCAGCCTGTAGCACACACGGGAATTGTTTCCTGCCTGCCTCCCCGGCAAGACTGAAGGCTCTGGTGGGGTGAATAACAGGGCTAAGTCGCTTTCCCGTCCCTGGCACCCAGCGTCAATTCCTTTTGAACCAGTGAATAGTGAATAACAGCAGCGGCCTGTTTATAGCCCCAAGGGATGGACGTTATTAACCCCATTTTCCAGAGGAGGGTACAGGTCCACCAAGCAAGCCGCAGAGCTGAGAATTCAGCCTGCAGGACCCCACACCAGCCTTGCACCCTCCTCCCCCATCCCCAGCCCAACCTCCTGCCGCCAGGCCCAGGGTGATCTCATCCCCCAGATGGGATGGGGAAATGAAACCAAAACCCCGCAGTTTCTCTGGAATGGGTGCCTGGGAGGGGCCTGCCGGGAAGATCCCTGTGGGGCCCAGAAACATCTGCCCTGGCGGGACTCCACCCTGCCGCCCAGGCCAGGTTAACCATTGTCGGAGCCAGGCCGCCAGGCTGGTGTCTGGGGCAAGCGACTTTGCCCCTCGGGGCCTCAGTTTCCAGAAAATGTAGATAACGAAAATCCTGGCCTCACAGGGCTGGCATGGGACTGAGAGTCGGTGTGTGAAAGCAGGCACTCCCACTATTCTCGTCCAAGAAGAACACACACAGGAAGCCACATGGAGTCACGTGCCCCCCAGGACAGCAAACGGTGACTTAACTGCAGTTCCCACCCATCCCAGGAACGCGACCTAACAGTCCATCAGGAATACGCAGGTCAGCACTAGCCAGGTGGTCTGTGCGAGGTGGTCTGACTCCCCCCGCCAGAAGATGTCCGGGCCTTATCTTCTGCCAATTAATTCCTTATGTACCCTCCCGTATATTCCATTTGTACAACCCCGGAGCATCTCTCTACTTGGGATGGTGGATGGGATGCTGCCTGATTCATGAATGACTTAATAAAGCCAATTAGACCTTCAAATCTACTCTGTTGAATTTTAACAACTTTAAGCCACTTCCCACCTTGGGCAGCTTCAAAGCTATATTTCACACCTTTGCACAAGATATTTCAACTACTTGGCATGCCCCACAAGACCCACACGCTCCTATTCATCCTTCAAAACCCCAAAGCTAATGCCCCCCTCCTCCAGAGCACTGCTGCTTCCTTATGAAGCCATTCACCTGCCAGTCCATCCACCTGCCCCAGCCTGGGCCCTGCAGGAGTGTCCACATCTGGTTTTGAGGGTCCTCCCTGGGCTAGGGGGGAGTCCAGAAGGCTTGTTATGAGGATGAATTGCATCTGGTCACCACGACCCTCAAACTCGGGCAAAATAGGAAAGTGGGCACTGTTGCCTAGGTGACCTCCACTCAAGGCACATCAGCATCATGAGGGGCCATCCTGGCTTCCTCTCTCCACAGACACTCCTGGGTCTCCCCACATGCCCACTCTAAGCAGGGAAGGGGCTCAGGTGAAGGCGCTGGTGTCTGGTTGGGGCACCCCCTCCGGCCCCACACCTGTTGTACACAAAGGCTTCAGTGCCCTGTTCATCAAGGTGCCCAGCTCCCACCTCTCCTGGGACACTCAGATTCTTCCTCTGGGGGCAGGTGGGGCCCTGGCCAAACCCCAGCCCCTCAACTATGAATGGGGCACACAGGCAGCCCACAGGCTCCAAGCCAGCGGCAGGCCCCTCCCAGGGGGCTCTGCCTGCTCGGTGTCAGGCTGGGGATCCCCTCCCCCCCGCGGGCCCCATTTCCTCAGCAGGGTCTCACATCTGCCACAGAAAAGAGGCCCCCAGGCCTCCCATCCCTCGGGCCTGGGAACTACCTTGTTTGCTTGTCACTGAATTTACCTATTATGAGCAAAACCACTCTAGACTCAGCTCAGCTCCACGAGTGATCCCAGCATGGGTGCAAAGGGGAACACCTCTAACGTCCGCTCTCTGGGGGAGGCCATAGCTGGTTGCGGTCTGCGGCTCCCACCTCCCTGGCTGCTGCTACCCCTGAAAGCAAGCGACCCAAGCAATCTGGCCCCTGGGCCTTGCCTGCAACTTAGGCTGCTGGGAAATCTGCTGCACCTTGCAAATACGGCACTCCCACGGCCCGGGGCAAACCACTGCCTCCTCCCTCATTGTTCCCAAGGGCAGGGGAAATGGCAGCGGGTCCCTCCTGGTTTCTGCTGAGCCGCCCAGAATTCCCAGGAGCGGACAGGACTCCTGGCCTTGCCTCCCGAAGAGCCCGCAAGCCCCAAATGTCAGGATGGCAGGCCTGTCTTCAGGGTAAGAGCAGCTGTGAAAGCTGTCCAAGCTAATCTCAAGGCCCAGGGTCGGGGTGGGCAGGGAGGCAGGCCTTACATGGGTGCTCCCCAGGCAGGGTGCCCCAGCCCTGCCACCTCCCCTCCCCTCCCCTCCTCAGCAGCCCACTAGCCCAGGCAACGCCCCCAGACAGAGGGGGACCTCACTGCCTGCCCAGCAGATGCCTGTCCCCTTCGGCCGACAGGCACAGACCTCCAGCCCCCAACTCCTGGCTCCCAGGGCAGCCCCCAAAACCCTCCAAGCACCAGGCTGCCCACAAGGGACAGGGATGGCTGGGAGAGCGCTGGGGGAGGCAACAGATGGGCCCCAGGGGGGCTCTAGGCAGCCTGATCCTCACTCGGCAGAACTGTCCTGGGGGTGGGGGTCACCCTAACAGGCGGAGAAGTCAGGCTACACCAGAGGAGACACGGGGAGTCATGCAATGCAGGGAGAGCTGGGGTGCCGGGGGGTGTCAGACGGACAAAGAGAAGTGACACTGAAGGGTCACATGATGGAGGGGGATCTGCGGGTCGGGCCTGCCCCAGCCTGGGCCCTGCAGGAGTGTCTACATCTGGTTTTGAGGGCCCTCCCCCTCAAAGACGGCAGGCTTCTGGGGGGCAGGTAGTTAAGGAGCTGGCAGACAGACCGGGGAGGCTCAGACCATGGAAAACTGACAGTCGGGGGAGACTCTGGCCGTGGCAGACAGACAGACGGGGAGGCTCCGGCCGTGGCAGACAGACAGACGGGGAGGCTCCGGCCCGGGGATGCCGGGCGCGCATTCGGAAGGGGAGGCTTACCAACCAGGTGCCAGGCCTTGCGGGGACCGTAGCGGGCGCAGCGGCCGGCGGCGCGGTCGGCCTCGTAGCCCACGAGGGGCGTGCACAGCCCGTCGGCCACCTGGCCGAGCAGCAGCAGCAGGCCCGCGCCGCGCGAGCTGTAGGCGCGCACCGAGTGCAGGTACAGCAGGAGGTAGGTGAACCACATGGACGCGCACAGGTCGTTGAGGAAGTGCCCCACGGCGTAGCTCAGCCGCGCGACCAGCGACAGCGGCCGCGGGGGCGTCCCCGCTCCGGCGGCCGGAGGTCCGGGGCCCATGACGGCTCCGACTCGGGCCGGGCGGGCGCTGGCACTCCGGACCCCGCTGGCCGCGCGCCCTGCTGCCCGCGCGGCGTCCGCCCGCCCAATGAGAGCGCCTGCGGCTCCAGACCGCAGACCCGAGACCTACCGCCCAGGCGAGGCGGGCACTCTCGGAGTGGCGGCCACCTGCACCAATCGGAGCCGCGCGCTGGGGCCCGAGAGCCAATCGTCAGGGGGAGGGGCATGGCTTTGGGGCCGCTTGACTTCTCCGCGTGGCGCCGACGGGGCCGCACGGTCCTAGCGCCCGACGGCTCACGATGGGTTTGCCGTGTCCCCGCGCGGAGGTGGGGACGACAATAGGCGCGCGCTCACCCAGACTCCCTCCTCCTGGCCCGCGCCACCCTAGCCTGCCCGCTGCTTTGCTAGGCCAACGTGGGCCGGGAAGGATGGGGTGGGCCGGGGGCGTGGGTGGGTGGGAGACCGGGTCCGAGTCCCAGTCCAAGTCCGAGCTCTCCTCTGCCGGGGGTCCGGTGACTTCCCGGCCGGAGAGACCCAATCGGACTCGGGGCGGACGTAGTAATTCTAATTAATTAGCTATTAAGGATAATAATGGGGATAATCACCATAATAACGCCAACTGGCATCTAATGAGCTAATGAAAGCTCCCTGCGCCAGGCGCGCCACGTGGGTTAGCTCGCCCAGCTGGGCCCGGGGCGGGGCGCGGCCCGCTCCCCTTTCTGGGGTCAGACACTGGCCCAGAGAGGGGAGGAGGTCCAGGGGCGCACGGAGAGTCAGGGACTCAGGCCTGCGCTCCGGACCCCTCCCCACCCTCCTCCCAACCCCTCCCATTGCTGGGTGTGGGTAAAATTGTAACATTTCCGGAGTATCTCGCCTGGCTTTAGGGCACTTGCACATCCTCAGGGGTGGAGAGACGTCCATCTCCAGGTCTGTGGGTCCATTACCTGGGCAACCGAGGGTGTGTCTGAACCTGAGAGTTTAAAGGGAGGGGTTGACTTGCCGGAACATCAGTTGTAAACAATAAACGTGTTTTAAACTTTATTTCTCCCTTTGACTGATTTCGGTTTTTAGAAGTATTTTGCCCTGGGATTTCCTTTCGCTGGACTTACACCTGGCGGCAGTCAGCAGGGTATCTCTGAACCCAAAATCTGTCATAATGGGTGCGACCTTTGGGAGGGCTGCTCCTGCGGATGGTGGGGAGGCCCCAGCGGATGCAGCGGCAGAGGTGCCGCTTCACCTGTTAGTATCCCCCCAGCTGTGGCGCTTCCAACTTGGGGAACCCCTAGTGGGGAACTGGTCTAGCGTAGAGTACCTCCTAGAGGGGTGGGGCCTTCCCCAGAACTGGGGGAGGGTGGAAACACCGGAGGCTGCAGAATCAGCCCTCCCTGAATTGAAGACTGCTTGGAGACCTCAGGGGCCGTGTAGCAACTGACGTTGTGGGGTCTCTTTTCATTAAGATAGTGGAAAATGTTATACAGGAGAAAGAGGATTGTCGAGGGACTTGGACGGGAGAGACGCACCTCAGCATCGCTTGGAGGAGCTGGGCGATAACCTGCGGGATGCTGTTAAAGAAGAGAGACAGTTACTGGAAAGGCAGGTCGTCCTAGAAGACTCCTTAGCAGCGGCGAGGGGGGAGGCGGCAGGAGAAGCCGCGTTGCAGGAGGACGTGGGGACGGGGAGGAAAGAGCAGAGCCTTCAGCCCCGGGATGGTGGAGGACCAGCCGTTGGGGGAAGAGCCCGAGGGAGAAGAGGAGGCGGCGGGGCCACTAGCGGATCTGCTGCCCAGGCCACCGCCGGAGGTACCAGCCTTTCCTGTTTTAAAGGCCCGCCCGGTTGTAATTAAGAAAATAGAAACAAAACAACCGTGGGCTCCTCAGGGGGAGGAGCAGCCCCCTCCCCAGGTTGGGGAGCATTCCATGCTCCGCCCCTATGCCCAGGACGAGCTGGTGGACATGAGCGTCCCGCATAGGCAAAGGCCACCGGAATCTCTGCCTACATGGCTTTTCCGTCTCTGGGGTATGGGGGTGGAAAACATGGTTGTGTCGGGTACTGAGATGAGCAGAACGGCTTCCCTGACGACTCACCCTTCCCTCCGGCAGCGGTTGCAAAATGCCTGTCACGCGTCAGAGAATCAGACACTCCTGGAATGGCTGACAGCTGCCATCAGGATAGTTTGGCCTAATCAGGGTGATTTACCATATTTTCCCAGTAGTTGGAAAACGTATGCAGAGCGCCAACAGGTACTGCGGGAATCGGGTATGAAAAATATCATCCATAATACGGACCTCCAGGGCCCCGATGAGGAGATGTTCACTGTAAGAACGAGAAACCTGGTCCTGCACACAGCTCCCCCGGCTCTCTGTGGGTCCCTAGGGAACACCCCACCACCACCTGGGGCAATCCATAAGGGAGGCTACTCGTACTTTAGCAGATCTGGGGGGGTTGAAACAATAAGGGCACCGAGGGAAGTACGGGCCACGACTGAAAGGAGAAGTGAAAAAGGCCTCGTGAAGGTCTCAAGGACCCAGATGTGGGTTGATGTGATACAGGCTGGGGTAGTGAAAGAAAACTCGATGGGCAGCCCCATAGAATCTTGTTAGAACTGTGGCAACAATTAAAGCCAGAGCAGCAGTTCCAGCCGCTGAGGTCCAGGACACGGAAACCAGAGTCAAGGCCTCATGCCCGGCCTGTGTCCCTGTAAAACTTCCTGGGGTACAGTACTCAAGATTCACCTGGGCCCTCACCCCCACAGGAGGACAATTGGGCATCGCAGTTGAACTGAGCGGGGGGTCAAAGTCCTCATCTTGGGGGACATGGTGGGGACCGGAGGCCACGTGTAGAATTAGCAATTCATCGGTCCCCTGTGAAGGTACAACGTGTCCTGGCGCTGGTGGGCACAGGAGCTGAGTGTCCTCTGATCCATGGCAACCCTGAGTGTTTCCAAATCTTATTGGGATGGGGCATTTACCCCCAAAGGAGGATACCGGGTACATTTCTCCCATCCCTGAATATATTTTGGGGGTAGACATCCTGCAGGCCCTGTGGTTACAGACCACCACGGTAGGTGAGTTCAGATTGAGGATACGTGTGGTAAAGGCAGTTCTGAGGGGACATGCTAAGCACCCACCTGCAGCTCTGCCTGTACCTCGGCGGGTGACAAATATTAAGCAGTATAAATTGCCTGGGGGGGGGGCACAAGGAAACTGGAGAAACTCTACAGGAGTTGGAGAGGGTGGGCATCATAAAGGCCACTCATAGTCCTTTTAGTTCCCCAGTGTGGCCAGTGAGAAAGCCAGACGGCCCCTGGTGTACGACCATGGACTACAGGGAATTTAATAAAGTCACACCCCCTTTGCATGCTGCTGTCCCCTCTATAGCAGACATTCTGGACACCCTCAGCCGTGAGCTGAGAATGTATCATTATGTAGTAGGCCTTGCTAATGCTTTCTTCTCTACTGACATAGCACAGGAAAGCCAGGAACAGTTTGCCTTCACGTGGGAAGGCCGGCAGTGGACATTCACTGTCCTTCCACAGGGACACCGCCACAGTCCCACCATCTGTCAGGGACTCATAGCCCAGGATTTGGCCACACGGAGGAAACTGCAAACAGTGCAGCTGTATCACTACATTGATGATATTGTGCTCACGTCTGACTCTCTTTCAGATTTAGAAGGGGCAGTTCCTAGACTGTTGCAACATCTACAGGAAAAAGGATGGGCTGTGAACAGCACCAAAGTTCAGGGACCCGGTTTGTCTGTGAAACTCTTGGGGGTTGTCTGGTCCGGTAAAACTAAAGTTGTTCCTGAAGCAGTTATAGACAAGGTCCAGGCCTTCCCCACCCCTACCACTGTGGCAGTATTACAAGAGTTTTGGGTCTTTTGGGCTACTGGAGAGTGTTTATCCCACACTTGGCACAAATTATGAAGCCCTTATACTGGTTGGTACGAAAGGGCATCAGTTGGGACTGGGATGAGACATGTGCAGCTGCCTTGACTGTAATGGACTCATCAAGGCCCTGTGACCTAGATGTTCATGTAACCGAAGATGGTTATGGATGGGGCCTTTGGCAGTGGCTTGAACGGACCCGCCAACCTATTGCATTCTGGTCACAACTATGGAAAGGAGCAGAGGTCCGGTACACCTTGACAGAGAAGCAACTGGCTGCTGTGTGCCACGCCTTCCTGGCTATGGAGCCCATTACTGGAACAGCTCCGACCAAGGTAATAACTACCTATCCCATCGCCGGGTGGGTGTGAGACTGGACCCAAAGACTACAGAGTGGCATGTCGCAGACACCTACACAGGCCAAATGGGCGCATATTTACAGTAGCGCAGCGCCCTCTCTACTAGCCCATTAGGTGGAGAACTCCCAACGCTTATTGGGGCCAGTGACCTACACCAGTGGAAAGCAGGAAGAGCCTGTTTTTCAGCTCTTGGTAGCCGAGACTCCTTATCAGGAGGGAAAAGCCCCTGTACCTGAAGATGCTTGGCACACAGACGGCTCCAGTCGTGGGCAGCCCCCGAAGTGGAGGGCTGTGGCTTTCCATCCTAAGACTGAGACAATATGGCTGGAGGATAGAGAGGGGAAGAGCAGTCAGTGGGCTGAGCTGCAGGCAGGATGGCTCATGATCTCCCAGGAGCCCTTCCCCCATAGTTGTCTGCATTGACAGCTGGCCATCTATCGGGGCTTGACCCTGTAACTACCGACATGGTACCATGCCAACTGGATGGTTGGTCACTGGCCCCTTTTGGGGACAAGAGTTGTGGCAAGACCTGTGGGCCTCTGGTCAAACTAAAACAGTTACCGTATATCATGTGTGCAACATCCCACTGCCAGCCCCTACTGCATTAAGCCCTGGATTCACTGTTGAACGGACCTGGCCCTGGACATTTCGACACATGGACCAGCGATAGCTGGCCCTTCTGGCACCTTGGGGGAACGGCCTGGAAGCTTGCCTCTTGTGTGTTCCCAGAATAATAGCTGAATGGCCCCTAAAGGTCCCGGTAGTATACCCAAAATGTCCAGAAGGTAAGAGCATCTTGCGAGCAAGTTTTGTTTTATCTTAATGGCCAGTGCATGTACCTCCCATAGCCCTATATACTGACCCATCTGTAACTCCCACAGGGAGGGGGGTGACATTCTGGTGTACTAGACCAGGATGAGATCCCATTCCTGCCGCTGTTTTATCACAGGACCACCCTCTAGCAAGTATCCTACCTGATGGACAAGATGTGCCTACGCTGGTGCCATTAAACCATGTATCTTATCGCCCCTAAGGTTATTTTCTCCTACAGTCCTGGTGGCCTGAGCGCGCCCCCTGGCTGCAGTTGCACATGATGGTTGCTCTGAGCCCTACCGCCTGCCTACGGAATGGATGGGCTATGGACTTAATGTGCATGGGACCTTGCTGAATCCTCCGGCTTGAGGATTGTCATAATTTTATTGCTATTATGTCATTAGTCTGGTCACAATGCTCCAGTTTTCTCGCTCAGGGGCCATTGAGGAAGAAGGGGAACGAGTAGATGGTGAGGCCAGATTTCTGGAGCGGTGGCCTGTGGGTAAAATTGTAACATTTCCAGAATCTCTCCTGGCTTTAGTGCATTGGCATATCCTCAGGGGTCGAGAGAAGCTCATCTCCATAATTACCTGGGCAGCAGAGGGCGTGCCTGAACCTGAGAGTTTAAAGGGAGAGGCTGGCTTGCTTGGGGGCTTCTTCAGGAGCAGGGAAGAGAGAAGGACCGCACTGCAGTTTGTAAGCAATAAATGGGTTTTAAACTTTTATTTTTCCCTTTGGCTGGTTTCGGTTTTTAGAAATGTTTTGCCCTGGGATTTCCTCTCCCCGGACTTACACTGGGTCACCACCAACCTGTTTCAAGTTCCTCCAAATGTTGGGTGCAGCTCCCCCAGCCTCCAGGTCTCCCCCAATGCTAGATTAAAACCTGCCCTCTGGAGCCAGAATTGTGGGGTCCACATCCAGCCCACCCCTCCAAGGTGTCCCTTAACTTGCCCCGAGTGCGTGGGTGGAGTGGGCTCACTGGGTATAATGCTCATTAAAAGTGGTGTGTAAATGTCAGCTCTTGATATTGCCAGCCAGAAAGCCTTGTCAGGACCCGTTTCCCCTCTGGGTCCCCCTGTCCCCCAGAGCTGCCCCCATGACAACATTATCTGGCCCCCACCCCACCCCAGCTGTGGCTGTCTGTCTCCCCCCGCTGGACTGTGGTCCCCACGAAGGCCGGCATGGGTCAGTGCCAGTCACTGTGTGGTCGCAGCGATGCCTGGCACAAACACACCTGAGAAGGAGATCAAGAAATATCTGTGGAGTGAATGAATGGTGGGCACAGGCAGAGAATCAGAGATTCAGACAGACACTGGACCAAACAGGAGCCCCCTTACAAACGGGAAAGCTCAGGAGGCCGGAGGGGTGGCCCGCCCAGACCCCGACACGGATGTAGACCCCTGGCACACACACTCTCATAAAGGAGCCTGAAAATGGGTGTGGATGGGGTCTCAGTAGACAATGTAGCAGGAAAGAGGGAATAAGGAGCAGATGGACTGCTTAGCAGGAGATAAAGGCGTCAGGGGAGATAAGAGTCTTGGTTCTTTCCTCCTAGCAGAGTGTGGGCGCTCCCTGCAAAATAAAAACACTGCCTAAGCCTGTTATCACATCTCTTGCCTCCCTTCCTTCTCCACATCACAAGAGGTCTGTGCCCATTTTTCAGATGGGATAACTGAGGCTCAGAAGTTCTCTCGCCCTTCCCCTATCCTTGAACTCTTTATTACTGGCAGGGGAGGGCCCACCTCAATGGGAAAGATCGCTCAGCCCTAGCTCCTTCTCAGCCTTCTGTGAGGTCAGGAACCCAGGGGACCTACCCATAAGGGGCAGCCCCATGGGAGCACCAGCACATCTCTGTGGTCTTGAGCCCAGCCAGGAGCTGCCCCCAGGCTGAGTCATTCATTTCTTCTTTCCTGGCTTCCTTCACTCCGTGGATCTGGCCTCATGCTGAGCAACGCGGGAGCCCAGAGATTCTGAGGTCCCCAGTCTGGGGCGGGGACAGAGCCATACCCTCTGAGCCCTCCTCGATGGTTGGTGCTGGGGCTGCAGGGACCAGGTCACTGGGGAGCCGTGGTAGGGTTCTGAGAGAGGGTGGGAGGGTTAGATCAAAAGTCCTATGGGAGGGGGAGGGTCAGGAGAGATCTGGACAGAGCCCGACGCCAGACCGGCGTGCCCCCTCCCCCTTGGAGAGATCAGATCCCCTGATGGCCCCGTCCAGCTGCAGGGGTGGGAGGAGGGTGTTGTTTGCATAATTTCAGACCTGGGACCACGATGACCAGGGCTGAGGGTGGGGGCGCCAGGAAGGGAGCGGCGGGGAGGGAGGGTTTGGAGGCAACTGCCTTAGGTCCCAGGGTGGCTGTGGGGAGCCTCTTAGTAAGAAATGCAACAAGTTCGTGGGGAATATGGTGGGGTATGTGGTGGCCTTAACCTCATGACCTTAATTTTGTGCAAATGAAATGGACCTGCCCATTATTTGCATAGTTAGATTAGTTTCAAAACAAACAAGTTCACGCCATCCTTAATGGATCTCGTATTTCTAGGACTACAGATCTGGATACTACTGTCCCAGGCTCCTGCTATAAAAATTTCCAAGTGAAGCATGAAGGCGAATGCAAAGAAATGAACACAAAATGAATGTGACTTCAAGCGGCTGTGGTTACTGAGCACTAGGAATGGAGAGAATTTTCTGTTGCTAAGAAAAAGCAATTTATAATTTGGGGGCAAAAAAGATCTGCTTTTAGGTAAATGTGTGAAGGATGTAAAGTCAAATAGTGCACATACTTCTTGTATGTTGCTCGCTGGGGTCATGGGTGCATATGGGTTACATGAACTGGACCGAGTCCAGTGGAGTTTGGACTGAAGACAGCTTTATTTTTTCTAGAAAATATCCATGCAACAAGCTACTTTTCTGGATGCCAACGAGCTTCTCACTGCTTTCAAAATCAACCTCAAAACCTTTCACTTATTTTGGGTGTGCAGGAAGAGCCCTAAATTCCTCGTGTGGGACTCCGCAAGCAGGAGGGCAACTTCTAGAGGGCAACCGCCTTGTCAATCAAGACAAAGAGGCGGGATGGGGTGGGCGGGTCTTCCCGGTGGGCGGGTCTTCCCCTGCGTTCCAGCTTGGACTCTAACCCAGATTGTTTTAACGGAGTAGAGACAGGCAAGGGAGGTGTGGGAGGCCACCCGGCGGATGAAGCAACACAGCTGGGGCTGGAAACTGGGTCTGTCAAGATTCCAGGGCCTGTTCGACTTCGTCAGTGCTGAGCTGGCCTCTTTGGAAAACAGGTTTATTGAGATTTAATTCACATGTCATATATACCATTCAAAGTGTACAATCCCTTGGTTTGCAGTATATTTACAGAGTTATGCAACCGTCACCGAGTCTAATTTTAGAACATTTTGGTTACCCAAGAGGAAACCCTTCTCCAGTCCCCTTCCCCACTCAGTTCCCAGTCCCTGGCCACCACTAATCTCCTTTCCCCTCTGGATTTGCCTGTTCTGAGCAATTCATATACACGGGATCACACACTATATGTACGGTCTTTTGGGACTAACTTCCTCCACACAGCATCTTGTTTTCAAGATTTAATGCTGTTGTAGCACGAATCAGCAATTTATTCCTTTTTATGGCTAATATTCTGCTGAATGAATGGATCATATTTTGTTTATTAGTCAGATGATGGGCATTTGGACTGCTTCTACTTTATGGTGATTGTGGATCGTACCGCACACACCTCTGAGAAATGGACAGGATGCATTCGTTCATTTAGTCCATGAGTATGTACTGAGTAGCTCCTGCGGGTTTTGTTCTAGCAGCTTGGGAACACATCTGTGGACGGGAAAGCAGGTCTATGGAGGAAACAGACATGATGAGAAAAAATAAGACGGAGGGTACGGGATGGGTACAAGCCTAGGAAAGCCCCCTAGGAAAGGGGACATTTGAGCAAAGACGTTAAGGAGGTAAAGGCAGATCATCTGGGGCAAAGGTCAGGGGGTGGGACCAGCCATCCCACAGACCTGGAGGTGGGAATGAATTAAACCGAAGCCTTTGAGGAACGTGGGTGAGGCGGCTGTGGAGCAAATGAGGGGAAAGTTGGAGAGACGAGACCAGGAGGGGATGTGCGCGGCCCGTTTAGGGTCCGCTGGACCATCGGAATTATCCGGCGGCCACAGTTGGTTTCCTGGGAGCAGAAACAGCCCCAACCCAGACATGAGAAGACCAGGCTGCTGCCAGATGGTCCCCAAGATCGCAGAACAGAGCCTCCTGCCCCTCTACCTTCACGGGGTCCTTGCAGCCTTCCTGTCCCATAGTCTTTTCCCAAATGCCTCCAGCCCAGCTTCTGATCCCAGCCCCCTGTGCTGGGCTGGGATGCCTGCGCCCCATTGCACAGGAGGAAAGCCGAGGCGCCGGGGAAGCTCGCAGCGGGGCCAGGCAGAGCGGGGCACCGGGGACCCTAAGTGCAGTCGGTAAACGGTAACATCTCCCCCCAGGTTTGCTGCGGGCTGAGAACAGTCCCACCTTGCCCTGGGGCAGGTGTCTTCCCGGAAGGACCTTAACCTCTTTTCTCGCAACCGGCCGCCGTCCCCATGGCAACTGGGGCGGGGCGGCAAGTCCCCGAATCCGGCAGGGGCGTGGAGTCTTGCCCTCAGCCAGGGAGGAGGAGTCCGCGCCGCGCCTACTGGTCCTTTAAGGGACTCCGCCCAGCAGAGGCTTCCCAATGCCCGGATTGGCCCCAAGAGCGGCCTGGCGCAGCCGAACTTGACGCGCCCGCCCGCAGCCTTCCCTTCCCACCTCCCTCGAGGATCAGCGGTCTCCCGAGCCAATCGCCGGCCGGCGCGCCAGCCTTCATCTACATGGTCACGCCCCATAGGAAGACCGCACCCAATCCGAGCGTTCGCGGGAGCCGTCATTAACATGCCGGAGGCGGGGCTCGGGGCAGGGGCGGGCTCGGGGCGGTTGGTTGGAGCGGCAGCCGAGAGGTCCGGGAAAGTTTCTTTAGAGGTAAAAACAGCCGCGGAACTCTAGGCCCTGACGGGGGACCAGAGCGCGGGGGTCCCGGCGGCGGGGCGGGGCCCCTCCCAGGCCCGGGACGGTGGGCCCGAGCCTCCTGCTGGGCGATCCCCCAACAAAGGATTCTGGGGCGCCCGCCCTCAAGGCGTCTCCGCCACCGGATCGGGCCCCCCCAAGCGCCCTGGGCCAGCATTCCAGGGCTCCCCGAACGACCCCGCCGCCAGCAGCTCGGGCGCCCCTCATTGGGCCACACGTCTGCGTTCCAGGTGCTGCCGGGAGCGGCCATGTCCCACGGCCCCAAGCAGCCCGGCGCGGCCGCCGCGTGAGTGCAACTTTCCCTCCACCCAGCCCACTCAGGACTGCAGCCCAGCCCCCGCCCGGCCCGTCGGAGCTCCTCGACCCCTGCCCCCAGGGTCTTCACTGCCCCATCCCCCAGACCACCGCGGATCTCTCCCCACCCCCAGTCCCTCCCAGGGGTTCCCCTCACCCCTCTTCCCAGTGCTTGGGCCCCTCGCTACCATCTCTGCCAGCAGGGTTGGAGGTGAGAGTGACCCTGACGTCCCGTGCCTCCAAGTCCCTCCCAGGGGTCCCTTACTGGCCCTCCTAGCGCTTCTGCCCCGACCTCCAGACCCTGACTCCCCGAGACCCCTGCTTCCAGAACTCAGGACCCCCACTGCCCAGTAGGGGTGACCCTGGTGTCGCTCCAGGCCAGCGGGCGGCAAGGCTCCGGGACAGCATGGGGGTTTCGTGGTGGCTGTCAAGCAAGAGCGCGGCGAGGGCCCGCGGGCCGGCGAGAAAGGGTCCCACGAGGAGGAGGTGAGTCGCCGCACTGTTGGGGAAGGCCTTGGGTTTCTGCCGCGGCCTTGAAGCTCCGCCCCGGACAAGATTTGAATTTCTTGTGGCTCCGCCCACAGCCCAGATTTCCCTCCGGAAGTTGGGCCCCGCCCTGTGCCGCATGCCACGCCCCTTACAAATTCAATGCCACTCTAAGGGGCTCCTTTCGTCCTACGGGCCCTTCCTCCTGTTCAGAAGCCACGCCCACGTCCAGAGGCTACGCCCACGGCGCCAGCCATCCGCATCCCTGGGCAGAACACTTGTTCCAGTCCCTCTGATCTCCACACCGCTGACCAGGGTTCCCGCGACCCCAGGCCTGACTCCTACCCAGGCCATACTTCCAGGCCTTCCAGGTCCTATCTCCTCGGTAGGCCCCGCCCAGTCCTCTAGCCCCACCCAGGCCCCTCCCAACGGCGCGACCTGGTTCTGCAGCCAGTGAAGAAGCGCGGATGGCCCAAGGGCAAGAAGCGGAAGAAGATCCTGCCCAACGGTCCCAAGGCACCGGTCACGGGCTACGTGCGCTTTTTGAACGAGCGGCGCGAGCAGATCCGCACGCGCCACCCGGACCTGCCCTTTCCCGAGATCACCAAGATGCTGGGCGCCGAGTGGAGCAAGCTCCAGCCTGCGGAGAAGCAGGTAGGGCGACGGCCTGGACTCACTGACCTCCCCCGAACCCACTCGGACACCCGCCGCCACATCCCCCAAGGGACCTATCTTCCGCCACCCATGAGTCCTCCCCAGCTTATTGAAGGGAGGGTGGGTAGCAATAGACAAAAATAGACACAAAACTTAATAACGTGGGTAGATGTAAAGAAGCAAGGGCGGGGGGCTGGATGAAACCTTCCTATTTTCAAATCCTGGTAATTTAAAATTGCAAAAACCCAGGGCAGCGTAACAGGAACCACCCCCGGTTTGCCCCAAGTAGGCAAAATGGGTGCCGAGGGCAGTCCCGCCTGGAGGGGGAGCTACAGGTATTCAGACTTCAGGGAGGGGTTTATAAAGGCTTGGGGGGGTGGCGCCCAGAGCAGCAGGCTGAGAAGCGGGCCCGTCTGGAGGGCAGGAGGGAGCTATGGGAAGGCTCAGCACCGCGAGCTGGGTGATGGAGATGGGCCCTTGGCCTTGGAGGCCACCCCGGGCCCTGGGCTGGGCCAACCCCTCTCCTGCTGCCCCCACCAGCGGTACCTGGACGAGGCTGAGCGGGAGAAGCAGCAGTACATGAAGGAGCTGCGGGCGTACCAGCAGTCGGAAGCCTACAAGATGTGCACGGAGAAAATCCAGGAAAAGAAGATAAAGAAAGGTGGGAAGGGCTGGCCCCCAGGCAGTTGAGGGCCTGCCCAGGGACAGGTGACCTGGCAGGCTGACCCACCCCCGCATGGGACTCACATCCCCGTGGGGTCCTGAGACGCATAACCAGATGTGAGTGGGCAGGGCTGAGATGGGAGGCACAGGGGCTCGGGTGGCCAGGGGGGTCCCAGGCGCGCCTGCCGCAGGATGAGTAGGGTTGGCTAGGGTAGGGGGGAAGGAGGGTGGTCCAGACCCGGGAACAGCACGTGCCAAGCGCAGCCAAAGCCTGGGGTCAGCGGAGACTTGCAAGGCTGACCCTGACCCCCTCCCTCCACCAGAGGACTCGGGCTCCGGGCTGATGAATACTCTCTTGAATGGACACAAGGTAAGTGCCGCTCGTCCTGGGAGAGCCCAGGGCGAGAAGGGTCTGGGGGTCTATAGACCCCGGGATGAGCCAGGACCAACTCATAGGGGGCAGTGAGTGCCCCTCGGCCGGGTGTGCAGACCGGTGGGGCTGCCACACGGGGCTGGGGGGCTGCTGTTGAACGGACTCCGACCCAGGGGGCCTGAGGAAACCCTCCCAAGCTTGGGGGACGTCGCTGAGGGGGTTTGACCGCCCCTCCACCCCCTCAAAAAAAACATGGTTACCTTGTCCTGTGGTTCAGGGTGGGGACTATGACGGCTTTTCCACCTTTGACGTCCCCATCTTCACTGAAGAGTTCTTGGACCAAAACAAAGGTGAGACCTGAGCAGGAGCTCCTGGGGAAGCAGGTGCTGGGGGCGGGTGGGCCAGGAGGGCGCCCGGGCAGGCGGCAGCACTGGCGAATTCACCTCCAGAAGCCGAGGCGCCCCTGCCTGTAGCGCCCCCAGTGCCCCGGGGAGCTGAGGTGTGCGGCTGGAGCAGAGCGGGGACGGCCGCGCGGGGGACGCAGCTCGGGCAGAGCCCGGCTCGGGGTCCGGGAGGAAGCGCCAGGCCTGACCAGGCTCCCCCGCCGCAGCGCGGGAGGCGGAGCTGCGGCGCCTGCGGAAGATGAACGTGGCCTTCGAGGAGCAGAACGCGGTGCTGCAGAGACACACGCAGAGCATGAGCAGCGCGCGCGAGCGCCTGGAGCAGGAGCTGGCGCTGGAGGAGCGGCGGACGCTGGCGCTGCAGCAGCAGCTCCAGGCCGTGCGCCAGGCGCTCACCGCCAGCTTCGCCTCGCTGCCAGTGCCAGGTGCGAGCGCGCGGCCCCGCCCCGAGCCCCGGCCCCGCCCAGTCGCCCCCGTCAGGCCCCGTTGATCCCACCCTCGGCTCCCGCCTCCCCGGCCGCGCCCTCTTCCGTATTCTGACCCCGGCCCACAGCTGATCCTGACTCCCCAGTACAGACGCCCCCACGCCCCCACCGGAACCTCCTGACGTGCGCCCAGGGCCCCGCCCCACAGACCTGCCGCCGCGGGGGCGGTGTGGCGTCCGGCCGCCGGGCTCGGCTAACAGGCCCCGTTCTCCCCAGGCACGGGCGAGACCCCCACGCTCAGCACCCTGGACTTTTACATGGCCCGGCTGCACGGCGCCATCGAGCGCGACCCCGCGCAGCACGAGAAGCTCATCGTCCGCATCAAGGAGATCCTGGCCCAGGTCGCTAGGTGTGTGTCCTCGGGGCCCGCCCAGCCAGGGGGCTGCCCCGGGCTAGATAGACTTGCCTTGGCGGGCCCGCGGACTTGGGGTCTCGCCCTCGAGGGGGACTCCCGGGGCCTGGGCTGTGTGGGTAGGAGGCCGATGTACCAGGTGGCGCTTGTGTGAAGCTGTCGGTACTGGCCGGACCACTGGGGGGCGCTGGGCGGGCTGGTGAGCTCTTCCAGCCTCCCTTGGCCGGTGGCATCTGTCTGGGGGGCAGGAACTTCCTCAGAGCTTGTCGGTGGGTTTTCCTAGGTGGCTTCTGGCTGCCCACGTTGGGTGGGATCAAGTCCAGACCCCCACCCTGACATCTGCTTGGAGGAACTGAGGGCGGCTGGTCTCTTGGGTCCCCCGAGAGGGTGTGGGATCTGAGATGATGGGGTTCCCCCATCACGAGTCCCCTTCTGTCTCTCCCGTCACAGTGAACACCTATGAGGGTGGCGGCTGCCCCAGAATCCAGAGAAGACTAAGTTCTAGTGGCGGCCCCTTCCCCACCCCACCTCACAGAGGGTCCGGGGTCCACCTTTTGGGGCCAGACCCGATCTTGCACCTTGGGGGCTCCAGCCCCCCTAAAATTAAATTTCTACAGCATCCTCCCAGCTTTCACCTTCCAGCACCCTGAACCAGAAAAGTCACCCACCATGCATGACGCACAGAGAACCCCACAGCCCTGGCGTCCCACAAGGTGTGCTAGCCTCACAAGGTCACACCACAGGGTGTGGGGACGACACAGGCAGAGAAAACCCACCCCTGGCCTCCCACATGGTGGCCACCACACGCACCCCACCCTCACAGGCATACCGCGGGGGGACCTCCCCCCACCTGCACACTCGGGCACTCGGGTGGGGGCCAACACCTGTCAGATTCCTGCAGCCCAGGACGGGGGGAGTAGTACCGACCACCCCACCGTGGTCCTGCTGAGGGACCCTCATGGAGGCGGCCCCTTTGCCATTGCTTGATCCAGACTTTTTAAATAAAATGGAATTTGAATTTCAAGCTTGTGTGTGTGTGTGGGCTTGGGGGTGGGGGTCAGAGGATGTGCCTCCCAAGACACCCCCTACTGGGGGACCCAGGCCTGGCCCTCCTTCCCCCCAGACCCTGGCATCCAAGAGCCCGCACTGTGTGCATTCGCTTGTTCTGGACATTTCACAGAAATGGGGTCACACACCACCTGGCCATCTGTATATGGCGCCTCACTGAGCACTGTGTGTTTTCAGGGTCCCTCTCTTCCTGGTGAGGGATGCCCTGTGTGTGGGTGGACGTGTGTGCCCATCCATCCGTGGTCACCTGGGTGGCTTGTACCTTCTGGCTGTTGATGGCGCTGCTGTGAACATGCTTGTTGTACAGATTTTCATTTGAACACCTGCTTTCAGTTCTCTCGGGTAGATGCCCAGGAGTGGAATTGCTGGGTCACGTGGCCATTCCTTGCCTAGCTGATGGGGAACCCTCAGACTTCTGTATCTGATGGAGTACTTCAGACATGCCAAGAATCTTGGAGACTACTTTGACAAACACCCGTGTTACGGGTAGAATTATGTCCCCTCAAAGGATATGCTGCATCGTCACCCCGAGTTCGCAGAACGTGACCTTATTTGGAAGCAGGGTTGTTGAAGATATAATTAGTTAGGGTGAGGTCATCCTGGAGTGGGCCCCTGGTGCAATAGGGCTAGTGTCCTTACAAGAGGAAGACTTGACACAGACGCAGAGAGGAGGCCGCCCCAGGACGCCAGAGGCAGGCACTGGGGTACAGCGAGCAGCCAGGGAACACAGGGCTGCCTGCCACCCCAAGAAGCTGCGAGAGGCGAGGAAGGAGCCTCCTGTGGCCTCGGAGGGAGGCTAGTGAACCAATTTCAGCCTTCTGGCTTCCACAACTGTGAGAGAATCAGTTGTCTCCAGCCACCTGATTGGTTGGACTTTGTCGGAGCAGCCCCAGGTGACTCGCCACAGGATAGTGTCACCTCCCCCTCCAGGTGTGCATTCCCTAGTGGCACCCCCTCGCCGGCATGGTGCCCCGCCCCAGCTTTGGAGCTTACCGTTCCAGAGCAGGTCTTTCTATACTCTTAGCCCATAAGGATGTCTTCCTAAAAGAGTACTTACCGCTCTGACAGGTTTTGTGTTTTCCGTTCATTTTGTAAAGTTTTTAAAGGCTGCAACCCTGTGGTTTCTTGTATATTCACACACATTATGCAAGCATGAGCATAACCTAATTTCCAGTGTTTCCATCACCCTAAAATAAACACTGTCCCCCTTAGCAGTCACTCCCTATCCCCTCTCCAGTCCCCAGCACTCCGAGCCCACGTCCCATGTGTAGCACCCGCTGTGACGGGATGACACGTGTGGCCCCCTGAGCCCATGTGTGCAGGGTCCGTCCATGCTGCAGTGTGGATCCTGCTGTGCAGGTTTTTGACATAAAATTGTCTTACATTGTCCCAAGCCTTGTGCAACTTGCCTTTTTCCACACATGTGGTTTCTCAGATTCTCTCAAGGAATGTGGCTGTGTGTCATCCCACCGCTGCTTATATATAGTTAAGGAATATAGTTAAGCCTATATGCCTGTTGGAGGGCGCCTCCCTGGTGCACCAGCTGCCCCCCTGGTGCCGGAGTCTCCTTCATCTGTAACCGGGGGGTCCATTCATTCCCTCACCAAAGATTGAGCGCCTACCTCCAGGCAGAAGGGAGCCCAGAACCCCTACGCTGCAGCTGACATTCCAGCTGGGGAGACAGCTAGGGCACAAGATGAATAAGTAAAATGATCTGCTTTGTTGGGTGGTGCCCAGTGCTAGAGAGCAAAAGCAAGGAGCCGAAGGAGGTGAGGAGGGATGGAAGCACATGGAGATCCGGGAGCAGGTGCTTCAGAAGGAGGGGCAGCTGTGCAAAGGCCCTGGGGCAGGCCCACGCCTGGCATGTACAAGGAACAGTCAGGAGGTCCCTGTGGCTAGAGCAGAAGGAGCTAGATGGGGAGAGGGGAGGCCAGGGACCAGACGGGGTAGGTCTTGCAGGGACTTGGGGGCCTGGGGAGGACTGGGCTTGCCCCCTGGGATGTGGATGTGGGAGTGTGGAGTGCTGTAGGCAGGTGGGTACTGGGGGGAGCAGGATGTGGTTGAGGCATTAAATGAGGGCGCCTAGCACAGAGCAAGGACTCCGGGGTGCTCAGCTGTCCCATCCATTTTGGGGACCCTTGTTTTTCCCAGTCCGCAGCTCAGGTCCCCGCGGGCAGCCCAGCGTCCCCGGGGGGCGCGCAGCTGGCCCTGGCAGGGCCCAGACACCTGGGGTCCAGCCCCCCCGCGCACCCCGCGGTGTCGCCTTCCCGGGCGGCTTGGGTTCCCGGATCCCCTTACCCGCCGGCTCGGCTGTCGCGCCCTGCGCCGGGGGAGGGGAGGCTGCAGGAAGCGGCGGATCCGGCGGCGGCGGAGGCCGGTGGCCGAGCTCCTCCGGCCATGGAGAGTGCCCAGGAAGCCGAGGCCCCGCGCCCGCCCGCGCCCACGCCCCAGCCCTCGCCCGCGGCGCCCGCGCCCGCGCCCCGTGCGCGCCCGCGCCTGGTCTTCCGCACGCAGCTGGCGCACGGCAGCCCCACGGGCAAGATCGAAGGCTTCACCAATGTCCGCGAGCTCTATGCCAAGATCGCCGAGGCCTTCGGCATCGCTCCCACCGAGGTGAGGATCCCGGACCCCTGGCGCCCGAAGCCCCCGGGGCCGAGTGCCCCGGGGGGGTGGTGCCGGGTCCCCGGACTGGGGGCCTCAGTCACCCCTCCCCGGTTGGGAGGGACCCGAGCCTCAGATCTCAGAGACGCACCTCTCAGATCCCCGGGTGCCCACACCCCCAGGGACCCCGTTTGCACGCCCTAAGCAAAAGGTGAGCGCGTGTTAAAGTTAGTTGATCGCGGGAGAGCGCAGGCGCCCACCGGCCGAGCCAGCGGGAGTGGATCCCAGCCCTCGGGGACGCGCCTCTGTGGCTCCAGGGCGCCTCTCTGGCGCTGGGGTTCCCGCAGCCCCCCCACCCCCAGGTGAGAAGTCGGAGCTTGGGCGTTAGGGGCTGGGCTGTCCAGCGGTGTAGCTCGCAGCCCCCAGGGGACGCCAGCAGGTTCCCACTACCTGGAAAAGTTGGTTTGGGGTGTCAGGGCACCAACGGGTTAAAACCGTAAGTCTGGGGTGTGGGGGTTCTCCTCCTGTCTACAGAAGCTTCTCACCCCGCTCCCCATCCTGGGGGTCCTGGTCTGCTTCTCACCCCCACCCCATTCTGAGCATCCTATTCTCTGCTCTTTCCCCTGGGCTGGGGTCCTGGTGGGCTGGGGTCCTGGTGGCCAGGAGACTGGGCCAGCTTCACGCCTCTTCATGCTTCAGTTTCTCTCTGTCACCCTGTTGTTCGTAGACAGCAGGGGTGAGCACAGTCCTTAATTTGGGACTACTCTCTCCTCGGGACAGATCTTATTCTGTACCCTGAACAGCCATAAGGTGGACATGCAGAAACTGCTGGGTGGCCAGATAGGCTTGGAGGACTTCATCTTTGCCCACGTGCGTGGCGAGACCAAGGAAGTGGAGGTCACTAAGACGGAGGATGCCCTGGGACTGACCATCACGGACAACGGGGCTGGCTACGCCTTCATCAAGGTGCCCTGGTGTTGGGGGGGGTGGCTTTCTGGGTACTCGGTGACCTGGGAGGGGCCACTGTCTCTCTCTGATGGAAAGGGGCTCTGGGGACCAAGAGGGGCAGCTGGGGCGACCCCGTGAGTGACCCTGCTCCCCACAGAGGATCAAGGAAGGCAGCATCATCAACCGGATCGCGGCCGTGTGCGTGGGCGACAGCATCGAGGCCATCAACGACCACTCCATCGTGGGCTGCCGTCACTATGAGGTGGCCAAGATGCTCCGGGAGCTGCCCAAGTCCCAGCCCTTCACCTTGCGTCTTGTGCAGCCCAAGAGGGCCTTCGGTGAGGGCCACCTGGGACCCAGGGGGCAGGCGGGGAGGGGGACGGGACAGGATGGACGGTGAGCTTCTGGCCCTGGATCAGGAAGACATAGGTGGTTTCTAGATTGTTATAGTCAGTCCAGGGACGGGGCGAAGCTGGGAAGATTGGGACAGGATGAAGAACTGTCTAGATCTTTTTTGTAAGCTGGCTGGGAGCATTTGAAGTGTGCTTCGAGACTAGGCAGAGTCCTAGAGGATGGTTTCCAAGCAAGTTCTAGATGGTGCTTTCTCAGAGGGAGGTCCGACAGGTCCATGGGTGAGATCAGGAGCTTCCTCTTGAAGAGAGCTTCTCAAACTCTGCACTGTTGGCACTTGAGCAGGAGCATTCTCTGTGGTGGGGACCTTCCTGTGCATTGCTGGGGACCGAGCAGCATTCCTGGCCCCCACCCAACAGATGCCAGTGCCAGCTCCCAAGTTGTGACAACCAAAATGTCCCCAGATACTGTCAATGTCGTCTGGGGGGCAGTTATTCCCCCCTACCCCTGCCACAGGGCTGAGAAGCTCTGCTCTAGAATATAAATCAACCTGTTCGGTTCTGTAGACCCAAGGAAACTGCTGATTTCCATTCTGGCACAACCTTCTTATCTCATCACAGAGTGGCCTTTTGAGTAACACTGTTCTAGAACAAGAGGTTCCAGAAGTGCCCTGGCCTCTCTGGAGCGGGGGACCCCAGGGAGAGTGGAACAGGGTGGGGTTCTAGATCTGCCCTGTATCATGGCAGTGGACTCCAAGAGGAATGCCTAAAAGGAAGAGCCAGTTCTCGAGCAAGGATGTTCCTAGATGTACCCTTTGGCCACAGGAGGGTCTTACACAGTCCCTTCATGAGAGTCCTCTTTAAGGAGAGGAGGGAGATGTGGGGAAGAAAAGATTCTCAGGTGGGGTCTCTGAAGATGTATCTATGGATAGAAGAAGGCCTTTGGATTGTAAGAAGGTTCCAGAAAGGTTCAGCTGAATGCTTACAAAGATGTGGATCTGTCCAGAACACACGCCCTCCCCCTGCTCTGTCCCCTCAGATATGATTGGCCAGAGGAGCCGGAGCAGTAAGTGTCCCATGGAAGCAATAGTGGCCAGTGGGAGGGAGACCCTGCGTCTTCGTTCTGGGGGGGCCGCCACTGTGGAGGAAGCGGTGAGTGAGGGCAAGGGGGTCTCTGGGGGCTCCTGCACCTACAGCTCTGCCACTGACCCAGAGTGACTCGGATAAGACCCTCTTCTTTGCCCAGCCAGTGTCCCCACATGCAAAATGGGTCCCAGTGGTCAGGCAGGGTGAGAGGTCTGATGCATGAAGCTCCCAGCCTCTCAACATAGGGGTGGGGGCTGGGGCACGGGGCTGGAGATCACGGAGGCTCCTGACCCCCCCACTTCCCTCCCTGATGCCTGCAGCCCAGTGAATTTGAGGAGGAGGCATCTCAGAGGGTGGATGACCTTCTGGAGAGTTACATGGGCATTCGGGATCCAGAGCTGGGTAAGGGGCCAGGGTAAGCAGGGTGGGCCCCGGGGGGAGGCCTGGGGAGGAGGCAGGGACACTGGGGAACCCGGGCCCGGGAGCACCCTCACCCCCAGCCCCTCCCTTCCGGCCTGCAGCGTCCACCATGGTGGAGACGTCCAAGGAGACCGAGAGTGTCCAGGAGTTTGCACGCCGTTTAGACTCCGTCTTGGGCGAGTTTGCCTTCCCGGACGAGTTTGTGGTGGAGGTGTGGGCCGCCATCGGCGAGGCCAGGGAGGCCTGCGGCTAGTGTGCCCCGGCGCTCAGCGCAGCCCCAGCCCGGAGCCCGGACCCCTGCCCCAGCCCTCCCAGGCAGCTCGCGAGGCTCAGCCCTGCCCGAGAGCCCAGCCCAGACCTGAGACCCAGCCCTGCTCCAGGGTCCAGTCCAGCTCCAGAACCCAGCCCCCCTCTAGAGCTCGGGCCGGCTCTGACACCGAGCTCCCCTCTAGGATCCACACCAGTTCTGAGACCAAGCCCTGCTCTATACCTCAGCCTGGTGCTGAGGCCAAGCCCTGCCCCAGAAGCCAGGCCAGCTCTGAAGCCACGTTCATCTCTAGGAGCCCCCCGGATGCGGAGGCCACGCCCCATTCCGGAATCCAGCCCTCCTCTGGAGCCCAGGTCAGCTCAGAGACAGAGTTCATCTCTAGAACCCATACCAGTTCTGAGACCCAGCCCAGCTCCAGAGCCCAGTCCCCTTCTAGAACCCAGGCCAGCTGTGAAGCTAAGCTGAGCTCTGATACCAAGTCAAGTTCTGGAACCCAAGCAAGTTTGAAGACACAGCCCGGCTCTGAGATCCATCCCAGTCCCAGAAACCAGCCCTGCTCTACAGCCAAGTCTTGCCAGAAAACTCGACCCAGTTCTGGAACTCAAGACAGCTCCACGATGCGGTTGCACCTGGACACGTGGTCTGGCTCAGGAATGCCAGTTAGTTCCGGACCCCAAGAGTCCAAGAAGCGGCCCAGCTCTGGAAGCTATGCCAGCCCAGGATTCAAAGACAGCTCCCAAACCCAGCCTGATTCCCGAACCCAGACCAGCTCCGGAACCCAAACGCGAGCTGCAGCTCCGTCCAGGTCCAGCCCCCAGCCCTGCTCAGAGACCCAGTTGCGCTCAAGCACCCAGCTCCATCCTGGGGCCCGGCCCGGCTCCAGTGATGAGTCCGGCTCAGAGACCGAGCCCCGCTCTAGACCCCAGGCCAGTGCTACGACCAGACTCCGCTCCGGAACTCAGAGGAGCTCTGAAGCCCCATCCGTCTCTGAGGTCAGGCCTGCCTCCAGAGCTCAGCTTAACCCCGAGCCCCAATCTCCCTGCAGAAGGTGGACCAGCTCTAGAACGCCGTCCAGCTCTGAGACCCAGACCCACTTCAAGGCCCGGCCGATTTCCCGAGCTCAGCCCAGCGCAGGCATCCTGCCTGGCTCCAAAGCTCTGCTCAGTTCTGGAGCACAAACTGACCCTGAACTCCCACCGAGCTCTGAGGCACAGTCAATGGCTGGGTCTCAGCTGAGCTCGAGAAGCCAGCCGAACCCCGGGAGCCAGTCTCGTCCTGGCGCCCAGACCAACGCAGTAATAGACTTAAATTCCACAACACTGCCCAGCTCTGAGGGCAGGCCCCGCCCCAGGCCCCCGCCCTGCCCAGGGGCTCAGCCACCTCCCGGGACTCACCTCACCTCGGGAACCCTGCCACGTTCCATGTCCCCGCTCCAGGCCGCAGCCCAAGGCAGCTCCGGTACTGAGCCGGGCTTTGAGAAGCAGGCCACCTCCGGATCTCAGCTCAGCTCCGCAGCCCAGCCCAGTTCTGGGACCCAGACAAATTCCGGAATTCAGCTGGGCCCCAGAATGCAGTTCAGCTCTGAGACCCAGCTCATCAGCTCCAGAACCCAGCCTGTTTCTAGAGCCCAGTTCAGTACTGAGACCCAGCCCAGCTCCGGGACCCAGACCAGTGCAAGGATTCGACCCAGCTCTGGAGCTCAGCTCGGCTCCAGAACCCAGGCTAGTTCTGACACTCAGCCCAGCTCCAGGATTCAGTTCAGCGCTGAGACGCAGCCCAGCTCTAGGGCCCAGACTGACACCAGAACTCAGCCCAGCTCTGGAGTCCACCTTAGTTCTAGAACCCAGCCTGTTTCTGAAACCCAATCCAGGTCCAGAACCCAGACCAGCTCCGGAACCCAGCTCAGCTCCAGAAATGGGCTTCGCCCACAGGCCCCAGACCGTGACCCTGGAGCTCAGCCCGATCCCACTTCCCCAGCCCAGCTGCAGCCCCCGGGCCCCCCGCCCAGAGCCCCGACTCCAGACCCTAGCAAAGTCTCTGCACCTCAGCTTCAGCCCCACCATCTGGTACATGGAACCCTGGCCACTGTCGGCCAGGGCCAAAGCCCACCAGCTCCCCACCTGGCCCCACAGCCACAGATCCCTTCTGTCCCCCGGAAACCAGCCCTTTCCCCCAAGCCTCAGCTGGGACCCCAGAAGTGCATCCCAAGCACCATATCAGGCATCCCTAGTGCGGTCCCCAGGACAGCCCTGCAGCATTTCCAGCCCCCCAAGCCCCCAGCTCAGAGGCCCGCCCCTACCCCCACGCTCAGGGGGTCAGAGCCCCTCTCCCAACACAGGGGGCCATAGCTTAGGGGTGACATAGTTTTGCACCCACCCCTGCTCCTGCCCCTCGCAGCCCAGGTCCCCCAGAAGCAGCCGGTGACCTCATTCCCCCCCGTAAGCCAGGGTGGGAGCCAGGGAGGGTGGAAACAGCGGCTTCAGTTTCACTCCGCCTGGCTCGGGGCGGTGTAAGCGGATCCCAGGTCTGTGGAGGGGAAGGGGGGCAGGTTGCTCCTCGTGTACCTCGAGGGCTGTGGGAATAAAGTTGCCCCCAACCCTGCAGCTGGCTGCGTCCTTTCTGGGGGAACTTTGGGGAAGAGCAGAGGAAGGGCTAGGATGTGGGTCCGGGGCACCGGCAGGACAGCACTGAATGTGTTTTATGTGCCTACTGTGTGCCAGGCACTGTACCAAGTGTTAAGTGTGCCTATGCTCAGGTACGCGGCACTCTGTCAAAGTTTCCCTCGTCCCTCTGGTTACTTGGCCCTCACCGAGCATCTACTATGGGCCAGGGGCTGTGTTCTAGGCACTGGGAGTCTGGAGTGTAGAGCGAATGAGCCGGGAAGCGACACACTCACGAGCCAGGGGACCCCGTCTGGAGTGGAGTAAACAGGCATCTGTCTATGCGCGCCTCTCTCCTCACCTGCACAATGGGTTTTATCCCAGAACCCTGGGGTCCTAGCGAGGACCAGGAGATCCCACCCATAAAGTGCTTCCTGGAGAGTCAGTCAAGGAGGTGGGGAGCAGGGCCAGAAGCCAGCCCCGGCCTCCTGGTGTCCCCCGTCCCCAACTGTGCCGTTCCTGCTCCGGCTGCACAGGTGGGTAGCAATCTGATGCCCAGACTCTGAGGGCCATGACTTCCAGATCCAAGGGAAATAAAACCAGGGCCGAGATGTACTTTGGCAAGAGAGGGTGTCTTCTAGACAGGGCCTTCTACGGTTAGGGTGTCAAAAGGAATCAGTTATACCCCGGGAAGGTCATATTCGGGGCTCACAGAGTCCCCCATTTCCAGAGGACTTCTGGAAGGGGAGGCTCACACGTCTAATTTCCTCCGGCCGTCTCTCACCATGCCCACACACCCTTCCTGGGGTGGGGAGGGGGCTGAGAGAGGGAAGAGGCCTTGGAGAGGGGGCTCAGGGAGGAGTCGGGGGCTCCCCAGGGCTGACGGAGGGCAGCCTGCAGTCCAGCCTCCCAAACCCTTTGTCCGTCCTGCACTCCTGGCCCCTGAAACTTCAGACAGGCAGATGGGACTGTCAAGGGCGACCGAGGATCAGCGGGGACACGCCAGCAGGGCACCGGGTCCAGCGGTCCTTCCGTGAGCCATGGCGGGGCGTCGTCCAGGCCCTACACCACCGAGGGCCTCAGGGTGAGCTGGGGCTGCAGAGAGAGCGACCTGAGCCGGGCGCTGGTGCGAGGGTACAGGCGCCGGATCACAGCCCGGCGGAACAGGATATACACCCAGGGGTCCAGGATCTGGTTCCAGGTGGCGACGCGCAGGTAAATGAGCAGCTGCTGCTCGGTGGCTCGGGACAGCTGCCCCGTCGGGCTCATGGCAGGCGGGTTGTGCAGCACCGTCTGGGCGATGAAGACCTGCCGAGGGCCAGAGCAGTTAGCCGGGGGCCCAGGCCAGGCCTGCCCCTCCACTTGCACCTGCCAGGGCACCTGCGGTCCCCTGACCACGAGGGCTGATCCTCTCACTGCTTTGCTGTGTGACCTCGGGAGTGCTGCCTGACCTCTCTGAGTTTTGGTTGGTGTGGCCACAAAGTAGCATGCTTGCCCCGCTCCTCTCCTGGGAGTGACTGAACGTGGTGTAACAGGGCGGTGGGATTTCCTGCGAGGGCTGGCGCCACTGTTCTATTAAACTTTCCGTGTTTTATAAAAAGTATAGAATATAGTATAAAAAATTATAGTCTAAAATTGTATAATTACTTAATTTTATATCTAAATAATTTAGAATTATATTTTATAAGGCTTTTGTGACATAATTTTAAACTAAGGTTTTTATATTAAATATTCTTATGTTAACTTTTAAAATATATTTTATTAAATATTGGATTTTTCTACTTAATATCACATAATATATATCATAAGTTAGTTGCAAATTATAACATAATAGTATAATTACTATCTAATATATTAATCATAACATGTAATCATAATAAAATTATAGTCATATATAGCATTTAATGTAATTATATATGTATTATATAATATATAACTAACTGTATAAGTATGATCATGTAATCATGAATTATATTACAATTGATATAATTATGGGGTACTAATTGAAAATATATAATTATAGTTATATAATACATAGTATTTAATACATATGTATTATATGTACATAATACTTAACATATAAATATGACTATATATTAGATGTTGATTTAATTATCAATTATAATACAGTAACAATATGATTGTAATGTATATTAGATTGTACAACTATAAATGTATATTATGTTAAACAATTATAATGCATATTGTATTAAATGTATTGTATTAAAATTGTTTCCTGAGCACCTACTGTGAGCTGTGCAATGCTGCAGTGGCCAAGACAGAGCCACGTCCCAGCACAGTGGTGGCAGTGCTGGTGGGACCTATGACCAGGTGCAAACCGCACTTGCAGGGGACAACAGCTGTGAGGAAGGTCACGTGGGCACTGTGGGTGCCCAGAGGAGGCACCTGACCTGGCAGGGGAGGTAACTACAGGGACAGTTGGCGTCTCCTCGTGAGCTTGAAGGGAGTGTCTCTGGGCCTTTCTTCTGGGCCAAAGGCGAACTGTGGGAGGCCTTATGGGAGGAGGTGACCCATGGGGCAAATCAGGCCTGCCACCTTTTTTTGTTTTATTTTTAATTTTTTTGTTTCTTTGTTGTTTTGCTAAGAATCTTTTTACATGTACAAATGGTAGGAGAAAAAATAGAAAGGAGCATATTTTGTGACATGTGAAAATGATGTGAAATTGAACCTTCAGCATCCATAAATGAAGTCCTACAGACGCACAGCCATGCCCATCCACACCCAGCATGGGCCTTGCCCGGTTCTGAACCACTGGAGCCAGGGCTTTGAGGGGTGAATAGGAGTTTAACTGCTGGGAAGGCATCTTAGGCAGAATCACTGAATCTTTGTTTCCTGAGTTCCCTTTGGTCGCAAACTGTTTCTTAAAGGGACATATAATAAATGTCTTAAACGTGATCTCTGTCACAACCACTTGGCTCTGCTGTTACATGTGAAAGCTACATGGAAATGAATGGGCGTGGCTGTGTTCTAATAGGACCTTATTTTTGTACATGGAAACTTGAATTTCATGGCATATTCATGTATCACACAATACTACACTTCTTTCTGTTTTTTTTCTCCAAACATTTACGCATGTGAACACATTCTTAGCAAGAAAAAGCAAATACCAAAAATAAATTTGCTATCTCCCCACCCAACACATTGTTTTTGTTTTAGTCCTTATCATTTCCAGGTATCTAGCACTTGTATTATTTACGAACTGTTTATTTTCTGTCTTCCCCTCCGCCTACGAGCACCGGGAAGAGGTGGATTCTTGTTGGTTTTGTGCAGGTTGTGTCCTCAGCGCCTGGACCAGACCTTGGGACACACTGGATACTTAACAAATGTTTGTTGAAGGAACAAATGAATCAATCATCTCACTTCATTCTTACCATCACATGGAGAGGCAGGCACCTTGTTTCCCACAGTCCAAGGAGACCGAGTCTTCCCCAAGGAGGGAGGCCCATGGCCGGTCACACAGCTAGTCGTTTTTGGACTTGAGTTGGGAACTAAGTATCTGACTCCAGATTTGTCACAACCCAATTAGAAACAGGAAAAAAAACCCAACACTCCAAATAGCCAACTACATCAACCAGTGCAAGGGATTCAGCCAAGCTCTGCTAACTCAGGGAAATTATTGGGCAGGGCTGGCATTCAGCACAGAACTAGGCATCAACTAGACTCAGGAGATGTTTGATGATTCAGTGCTTCTACCTAGAATGCCTTCCCTATGGGTGTCCAACAGGTAAACTCCTATTCATCCTTCAAATCCCCAGCTCCAATGCCCCTCCTCAGGAAAGGCTTCTCTGAAACCCCAGGTAGAGCCTTGGAGCCCCTCCCTGAGCACCCCAGGGCTGCCCCCACTCCTGTGCCTCATTCACGAGCTCCTCAAGGATGGGCATTCCCATCCTGGCGTGCACGCCTGCAAGAACCCGGGCATTTAAATCTATTCTGGATGAAGCAAGGCCCAGGCCCCCAGAGAGGTGGAAGCCCCGGGAAGCCCCCCACCCGCCACTCACCAGCAGTGGCATCCAGCAGATGCTGGCCACCACCATGATGCCCATGAGCTGAGTCATCATCTCGACCTCGGAGTCCCGTGGGCGCTGCTGGGCGGCCTCGTGCCCATGGTAGACGTGGCACAGAGTGGCCACGCTGATGGTGTTGAGCAGGAAGGACAGCCCTACTGAGAAGCTGCCGAGCAGCGCAAACAGCAGGCCGAAGGCCACGTCCCCGGGATCGGTGCCGAGCGTGAGGAAGCACCAGGAACCTGGGTACTGGAGGGTGTAGTGGCCCAGGCCGAGCAGCGGCAGCAGGCCCAGCGCCAGTGCCGCGCCCCACACCAGCCCCACCGTGGCCCAGGCGCGGCGGCGTGAGGTGGCCATGGGGCGCGAGAAGGGCCGGGTGATGCCCAGGTAGCGCTCGCAGGCCATGGCGGCACCCAGCAGCAGTGGGCACAGGCCGAAGAAGACCATGAGGACGCCCATGAAGTGGCAGAGGCGGCAGTGGGGGTCCACGGCCCGCCAGTCGAAGAGGGTGGCGTGCTGGGCCACCACGATGGCGCCGGTGGCCAGCAGCCCCAGGAAGTCGGTGAGCACCAGGCCGCAGAGCAAGGTGAGGAAGGATGACCGTGTGTGCGGGCCGCCCTGCCGCGCGCCCAGTAGCACGCTCAGAGCCAGCAGGTTGGAGGCCAGGCCCACCACGCAGAAGGAGGCGGAGAACCAAGGGGAGGCGATCAGCTGCCGCTCCTCCAGCGTGATGTTTGTGGGCCGGAAACAGGGCCCCAGAGAGCTGCCATTGGGCCACATGGCGCCGGAGCAGAGGGGGGCGCTCACCACCCCATTGGGCTGAGGCTGCAGGCGGGGCGGGCTGGCACAGGCTCAGTCACACCTGGGGTGGAGAGCAGAGAGGTTTGCTGGTGAGCCACTCTGCCTTTTAATCTGAGGAGACCCGGTGACCTCCTACACAACCGTCAATGCCCCGGCTCAAATATCCCCTCTTCAAGGAAGCCTTTCCTGATTTGTCTCACTCCCCTTGGTCAGTATTACTATTACTACTGCTATGAGCACTTTCCCCAGCTCTGTTCTGCCCCAGACTCAGTGGCCCCCAAGGGTGAGGACCTTCTGTCTCCTCTAGGACCCCTGGACAACACCAGTATCTGCGGGGTGGCAGAAAAGGACCAAGAAGGGCTTAAACTCCAGCCCTGCCGCCTACTGTGTGACCCCAGGCAAATGCTTTCTTTTCTCTGATTTCTATTTTCCCACGGGTCACTCATCTCAGCCCCCGGCCGACTGCCGACTCTGGGACATATTTCAGCCGTTGGAAGACAGGATGCGCCCAGTGTGGGGACAGAGGCT